GGCGCTCGCTCGAAATGTATTTATTTACAAAGCTCACAATTTGATAAGAATTTTTATCAGATAATCTGTTTATTAAAGTACCTTAAGTGCTATTTTATTTATTTTGTTGGTATTGACAATAAATCTGATTGTTATGTCAGATAAATGAAGCGAAACATTTAATTTTGATGACTCAATTGAGACCTTCATTTCATGTCATCATTATCATCATCAGCCTATAAGTGCCCACTGCTGAGCAAAGGCCTCTTCTCACAAGGAAAAGGTTTGAGCATTAATCACCACGCTTGCTCAAGGCGGATTGGCGATTTCAAACTTATTATTAGAAATTATAGGTAAGTCCAGGTTTCCTCACGATGTTTTCCTTCACCGTTTGTCAGTGGTGTCTAAATAACCTTAGAAAATACATATGACTCTAAAAAAGTCACATTGGTACTTGCCAGGTTTCGGATCCGCACCCTCATGCATGAGAAGTGGGCGCCTTAACCTCCGGGCCACCACGACACGTGTTCGACACAACGACACAATTAATTTCATTTACTTAATTATAACTTAAAGTCGTTTACAACCAAATTTTAATTTAAAATATGGACTTTATTGGCATTGATTGGTCCGGTAACCTGCTACCGTTATCTATCTATAAAGTTTATTTATTGAATTGTTGCACAAACAATGTATGTACAAAATTAAATAAATAAATTACATACAGAAGTGGGTTTTACAATTATTCAGTATTAAAAGTACATCACAACCCATAGATCAATATTTTTTGAAATCATTTCCCCACCACTGAGTTATATGTATTTACATAAACTCCATGTTATCTTTATATAAAAATAGCTATAAAATAAACATTTTCAGAAAACACTAATCCGTTTATTGATATTTGATTTTACTGCGTTATATTGAGTTTACTTTATCACACGAATTTAATTTTTATTCATTTAGTTTAATATAGATAATAGATAAGATAAATAAATATTTTAGCATTAATATATTTTAGCGGTAGGTTCAGCCGCAACGTAGATAGATGGAGTGTCAAGTGTCCACTTCAATCAGTCAGCGTTGAATAATGTATTACTGCTCGCCCTACAAGGGACATAGGTTGATGGCTCGCCAGTATTAATCACCTCTCACGTGACAATTAACGGTTTTACTCGTATTTAGCAGGTTACGCCTGACAGATTCATTTACAAGGCTACGTCTGTCATTCAAGTTGATGGAATAGTTCGAAATAGAAAACGCTTCATTAATCGAACCGTCTCGTTTGTGAAAACGATGAAACCAACATGAAAATTAACACGCTCGACTCATTCACTTATGAAACTCTAAACTCTAGATTGACGTTGTTAGATTAGGTTAGCAATTATTTCATTTAATTTTTGACTGTGCTTCGGTCAACAAGGTCTCCTTACACCAGCCATTCAAGTCAAGAACATTCAAAACTCATTCGATTTTCGCACTGAACGTTACTGAAAAACTAATAACTAGCAAAATCGCTGATATGGATTAATAAGTTTGACCTTTGTAAACTTTGTGTATTCTTCACAAGACTTAGTAAATACTTTATTTATGAAATTATTAAATCATCTCCACAGAAACGTCTAAATCAAGTTGAACAAATAAGACATATAACGAACAAAATCTGTACCGAAAAATAAACATCTAACAAAGCTTAACGAATTAGCTTTCGGGCAAAATCTTTGAGATGTTCGCCACAAAGAAAAAGCAACCTTACAAAATTATATATATCGTTAAACAAATCGTACAATAAATAAATAAAAAATCTCGAATAACTTCAATTACTTCAATACAAAATCGAAAACACAAAAGTTGTTAGTACACAGGTCGACATCGAAAGTAAGATTAAAAGATTAACTTTATTGCCGGCTGAAGTCATAAAAATAGGGACTATGTTTACTTTCCCTTAATCCCATGGTTTTATGGCGTTTGAAGCACATAGCTGTAGATAGTCACTTGAGTACACTTAACGATGTAAAAGGATTTATTTGAATTGGTTACGCGTGCCTGTTGGCTTTGTTATATGTCTTACAATGTTTTCCATTAGTTTCTGATGTTGAACAAGATCAAATGGTGTCTTGTGTGGATCAGGGGTATGTAAATATGAGTTGCTTTTCTTTCTTATTCTGTAGCAAACCAACGAAGCATGGTAACAAAATTTTCAACAGGTGTAATTTTTCGAAAGAAATTGCTACAAAAAAGTTCGTAGCACCTTCGTAGCTCGTAGTCTTCGTAGCAAATAAAAATTAATGTATGAAAACGATTGTGTCATAGTTTTTGATTAATAACTTAAATATGAGCTTTCTACCTAAGCACCTTGTTATCAATTTTGAATTAAGTTAAATTATAGCTAATTAAATTTTATCGTCAGTCATTGGAAGAGTCAAAGTTCGATAACATTTCATTCTTTACGTCAAAAGGGAGTATGAAGGTACACAATCATGAGTTTTAACTAAAACTTACTTAAAAGTACAGATATGCTGTAAAGCGGACTATAAATCTGATAATAACTTTTGTTTGCCAAAAAACTGCAGACCATTTTTAATAACCACTAATGCACTTTTAATGTTCATTTTACACACACGCTATTCAGTTATAAACGGACTCTTTTCGGACTTACAATATTTCATATTAAATAATGTTTAAGTTATTATTTTCTGACATTTTCAACCTTTACAAGAATAACAAATTAATAATTGGCAATATCAACTACAAATTGAAAGTTTTATGTAAATAAAGATCTTCAACCGAGTTCTTATAGATAAAAAAATGTCACATAAATAGAAACATCTCGCAAACTAAAGTCCATAGAGTTCGATTTCTAATAACAAATGTAAAACTTTAAACACAAAACTTTAATTTCCTTTATATGAGCTCTAGAATTTGAAGTAAAGCAAGCATAGTTCATTAATTAATATAATACATCATACTTTCTAATAATATGCAAACAATCTTGGTTTAAAAAAAAGTTAATAACATTCATTTTTGCTGTGAAATCGTTCACTCCCTGTTATTATCTGTGTCATTAGCATGACAGCCCGCCATAAAGAACAATGCAGTCATTTTATGCGTCACTGTACCATAAGATTTACGATGCTATCATATCATTCGATGAGCCATTCGCCATTCGCTAACAGATGCGCTAGCCAATATATTTCACTAACTACAAACCTTTTTTTTATTAAATAATTATTATTATCGTCTTTATTTTTAACAACAGCCCGTAAACTGAGTAATATTTATCAAATAGTAATTTAAAATATCAAGTCAACATTAATTTTACTATTTAATAATACTAAAACCTCAACAAATAGATATAGAAGCACCATTTATTCTTGTTTACAAAGAGAGCTATAAAATTTCAATAAAAATATGAATCTATTGTAAAAACTTAAGTACTCACAAATGGGGACATTTAAAGGCAATTGCAGTTAAGGGTCGGGGAACGGAATCGAAATCTGGAAACCGTTCAAAAGGACGGAAAGTGAGCGCTATGCAAAGCGCAGGAAATGGGTGGCTCGATTCAAAACCACCTCAAAAATAAGATCGGATTCCTTTTCTCTTTAGAAAGCGTGCAGCCTTCGTTGTGTTGACTGTCTGCTGTGTTTCAATTGTTGCGTTTCGCACGTTTGTTCAACGCTTGCGGTGTAGCGATTTTTATTTCTTCAACTTGTGCAATTTTACTGGGTTCTCGTTTGTTTTTTTCTTTCGCTTACCTACATATATTGTGTAGGTTAATTTCAACAATGGAATTCAATCAAAATAACTTATTTGTCAGGTATAGATCTTAGTCTAGTAAGTAATATGTAGGTAGTTCTTTGCATGAAATTCAACTTCAATAATAAATTGTGGTACTGAACCAAAGTTAACAGTTATTATTGCATTATGTCTTAGGATATAACGACGAAAAAGGGGTAAACCCAACCTCTTAAATAAAACCAAAGCAAATTTCAGCAGGCAGCCCTCAGGTTTCCCTCATATCACACTGTTATTCATTCTATTTTTTTGATTATAGATCATCAGACGATCACTCACTCTCAGAGACAATCCCCTTCCATTCATCCAGAGTGATGGATAACTTCTTGTTCAACTAAATGAGCTTAAAGTATACATAATAATACATCTATGCAAGTCACGTTATATTATAGAACAATCAATTTTAAGCTTTAAAACTCACACCTAAAGGTATAAAATGGTAACATGACATTGCACTTAAAGTAGTTTATACCATCACACCTCTAAACGCATTAAATGAATGTAATATTTAATATGCTTGGCTTGTTGTGGGACTCACGGAGAGCTGATATTGTATCTTATAATAAATTACGGTCTTATTAAGCATAATGCACCTTATGAATGTTTACCGAAGAACCAAAATTGTCTCTAATTTCCAAAGGTTATAGGAATTTGGTAACGTGATTATGACAGCTATTAAGTCTACACGACATTATACCCCATGACTTATATGTTGTAATTTAGAGCCATTACCACTACTCGATTTTGAGTTACGTTAGAAACATGTCAACATGTTCCCTTCATAAATCAAAGGTGCGTGAACGAACTGAACGGCTAATGCTTTGACATCAATAGGAACGTCCATTACATACGTGCATCAGGATCCCATTCGTAGCTTTCACTGAACCTCTCGAACGTGACCGTTTTAGAGAACTACCTACCAGACTGGAGTGTACCTGCGACACTCCAACAATTTCATATGTGTGTACCCCCACCGCACGACTACACAGTCACAATCGATTCCAAGATGTCAATGTACTGGGGAAATATTTTGTTATTAATATTCTTATTAAAAGTGTTAGTCAAGCCATAGAATTTATTTTTTAATCTACTTTAAGGCCTCTTGGAAAATAAAACTAAATATTTTTTTTTTTTTTTTTTTTTTTTTTTTTTTTTGTGAGGGGAAAATCATCAAATGACTTCTCCCGCCCAGGGCCGGGCAGGAGGGAGTGTCAGACTCTTACTGACTAAAAACCCCCCTGTTCCTTCTCCTGCTCTGTGCCGAGGTCGCGGTACCTCATTGCGCTTACCCCGCAACCCCGGCTGAACATCAGCCCTTTAGGGCCCCGTCTGTGGTGGTCTATTGGCTCTTTGAGGCGCGCGCGGAACGCTACGCGCCGTACGCTCGGGCCTGGTTCTGGTCGGGCGGCGAGCTGCCCTTACTCGCCGACCGCAGGCCCGTACTTACGGTGGCCGGAGATCGTCCCTCGATCCCCGACGCCCGTAGTGTCGCCAGTTGCGGCTGCTGGGGCGTGAGGAGGAGGATTGCTCCCTCACGCGCGCCGCCTCTCTCTTTGCGAGCATGACTGCTTCACAAAAGGAGGAGACGGCGTCCCAGTTCCTCTCACTCCGCACCATGGCCTCGACTAAGGCCGGGCGCGAGAGGTCGCCGCCGCCGATCACTTCCCTGAGGATACGGCGGTGCTCAGCCCAGGCAGGGCATACCGCTACCGTATGCTCCACCGTATCCTCTAGGTGGTCCTAAATATGCAAGTCGGTCTTTTGGTTAGTTATAATGAATAAAGCTATTGGCCCATTCAAAACCTCTAGACTACTATGCAAAAGTACGACCAATAAACTCTATGGTTACTCTTTTTCCGTCAGTTTCACTAACCAAGTTTTGGTTAAGTACGTGACACTAGAATTAACAGTAAAACTTTACGTCAACTATTTACATCGATTTATAACAATATTCAGAATAAAATACATATCCTTCAGGAACTTGAACATCACCTAAATATAAATAATCTGAGCCCTTACGCTCACAAGATTTGCTCGAAGTAAAGTTTAAACGCGACAAAAATCCCAATAACAGTACTAAGTGCTTCTATAACTTCACAGATAGAATTGTTCCACAAAGGGATTTTGTAAGCGTCTCTATCGGATGTGCAGCTCGCTCGAGTACGTTTGCCGGAGAGACATAGATCGCCGACTTATACATTTGTACATTAACTATAAGTCTTTCAAAGAAAGCGTTTTGTACTGCAAATACAGATACACTTTGTATTATAACGTTGCATCGTCGCCTTGCTCTCTGTATTGCGAACACGTTATATTCCAATACTTAGTGCAATTCAATTGCATCTGATGCAAGTGTAACGTTATGCCGTTACCATACTCCTGAATATTCAGTTTTTCAAATTAAATTCTTGCTCCGCTCATACGAAGTTCCAACTTAATTAATTTCTTTCGTGCCTAGCTCCGGTGTTTACTACATTTATTTTTATTTACTCATATCTTTGAACAAAGCGCACAAAACATTGACTTTATTGAAAAACATTGGCCGAACAACAAAACCTATCAATATTCAGTAACAATTGGCCAATATTTATTTTCTTTTGTCATGCAAATACGTTGATTGTGAACATTTCGATAGTTGAACGAGTTCATTAAAAGTTATTTATCAAAAGTTGCGTTTTGTATAATTAATTGAAATTTATTTGTTTGTATTTGACGTAAAAAATAACGTATAGTCTTTTTTATTTATTATTTATTGGCTAACAGACGACCCGCCCCGGCTTCTCACAGATGCAATGCTGAATATCTCAACTATCTTATTAATGTTATGATATTAAAAAAACTTCATTTTCAATCACTCTATCTATTAAAAACCGCATCAAAATCCGTTGCATAGTTTTAACATTTGTATACAAAATTATAAAGAACTTATTTCGCTACGAAGCACACAATAGAATTTATTTATGTATTTTGTAAATAAACGTGACGATGACTTGCATAATCGCGGGCCGTGATTGTTAATCTGGAGTCACCGTCATTTGTCAGAACATCGCGTGTCTCCGTGACATATCATACGTGTCAAATTAACTTTTCACGCAATCAAGTATTTCATATTTCTGAGAATGGAAAGAGCTAAGTTACATTATTCGACTACAATTCTTTTAATAATAAAAAGCATCAGTATTGATTAGTCGTGAAGTTAATTACCAAATGTGTGGGAGAGTGTGGGAGAGCCATGCTTCGGCACGAATGGGTCGGCTCGACCGGAGTGATAGCACGGCCTCAAAGAAAACCGGCGTGAAATAACCACAGCGTTGTGTTTCGCCGTGTGAGTGAGGTTACCGGAGGCCCAATCCTTACCCTCCTCCAATCCCTCCTAAATCCATAAATCTCCAAATCCCTAATCCCTAAAAGGTCGGCAACGCACTCGTAACTCCTCCGTTGCGAGTGTCCATGGGCGGCGCTGATTGCTTACCATCAGGTAAACCGTCTGCTCGTTTGCCGACCTATTAAATAAAAATAAAAAAGTATTTAATAGGTTAGTACAGAAAAAAATAATACTTAGATACTTATACATAATTTAAAAAGTTCATTGCTACTGTTGTATACCTATATACTTTTTCTAAAACAGAATATTAAATCATATTGCCTTTTGTCGAACCAAATTCAAATACTTTATATAGAATTTCAAACAGATTTAGATAAACATCTCAAAATGCATAATGTTATGAGCTTGACAAACTCGTAGTCATAAATTTCTTCTTACTAAAACAAAAATAAGTAGATAAGAAATTACCGTCGTCACACCTCAGTATCTCTTTCTCCAGCGAAATTGCTGTCAACCTCAAATACACAATATTAAGCAAAGAATAAAAAAGCAAAATGCTATCTTGATAAGTAGCTCAGACAAATGTTGTGTGATATACACACTTATTACAGACCACATTTTAGTGTCATTTTCATGTATAAACGCAATTTATTTACATTCATTTTCTTGATGTTCATTGTAGTGACTTAAAGATTAACACTTATGCAAGTACCTAATTTTACTCATTTGAGTTAACCTATCAACTTCTTTTACACATTTCCAATGTAAACCAATTTAAGACGCCTACTTAAAATAAGTTATAACATATTTAATTTTAGGTAAAGGTATTTTTATGCTATATTTATATCCCAAAATAGCAACTTCTAGTTATTTTTGGAAATAAACGGTATTTGTAAAAACTTTAAGCTACGTAATGTCTTATGTGTGACATTTATAATTAATATACATATGCCAATTGTAAATATGCCAATCAAAATATTATGGTGTTTCATGTAAATTTATTAATTACTTATATTTTATACTTTTGGATCTAAGACCGAGGCAAGGGTAAGTGAAATGAAAACATCACTCATGTAACAGAAAAAAAGCCATATATTCAAGACATAATAGATAGATACGTGTATGTTATTGAACGCGAACGATACGAAACTTAATTGAAAACCGCGTAAATTTTGTAAACAACCTGCGCCACATCGCCGAACGTTTCTCTATTCATAACAAATATGTCGGCTGCGGTTAAATACAGGGGGCGCTGCGATAGACAAAGCATCAGTAGAATTACACGCGCTTGTTTTGCCTCCATTAACTCCCAACCGCAGCCGTAAACAGATGTGGACATTTGTACGCCCGCGGATATGAGCATTTCGCCGCCGAAACAATACAAAAACAATGGCATGATACCCGTCACCCCCGTCAGTATTGTGTTCCTCACATCCCATGCGTTCATAGTCTGCAATGTAGTCACTAGTACAACCGTCATACTGAGAAAGTGTGCACCAAATATAACCTTATACAACTCTCGTATCTTGCCATGGTAATGCATGAGGAACTGGTGATGTTTCACGCAGAACATTAGCAAATCGTCGACTGACTCTCTCCCTGTTCCTTCGCCGACGTTGTTTCGAGAACGTTCGTTCTTTATCAAGATTGTATGAATCTCGTCCAGTGCTTCCGTGATTGCGTAGAAGTGTCCCAGCTCGTGACAGATGAGCGTGACGAAGAGCACAATGTAGCCGGTCTGATTAATGGCGGAAAAAGCGGTCGCGACACACGTCAGGACAAATGTTATTTCGTAAAATGGCGTCTCGTATTTCGGACTTAATCCTGGAATAATAAAGTAGGTAACGGTTACATCCAATTATAATTAGAGTAGTAACTAGTTAATGTATTTTTATTGAAATACAAAATAAAATATTGCTATGAAAGTAATATGTAATTGCCATGTGATAAACGGGAAATTCCGCGTCTGTATTAAAAAAAATCCGGCGCGATTATAGAAGTTCTATTTGTATCATAATTTCTGAACTTACTAGTAGAAGTTACATATTATACGAATTCTTACCATAAGTTTCGCCCGGAGTGGTGGGCAAATATCGATCGTTTCCAAAAACGGTAAACAAGAAGGGCATGAGCAAGTAGGTAACATGTGTAAAAGCCTCATTGGCCACAACCAGCCACGAGACGTATCGTGCCCGTTTTAATGCACTGAGCATTTTCTTCTTTGACGCACTGCCATCTGGTATCGAAGATAGTCCAGAGCGACTCAGCTCAAAAACGGTCTTCAAATGACTCCTTTAAAACAAAAGCTTAGTAACTAAAAAAATGTAATACTAAAAGTAACACAGACATAAAAAAGCAGCACAGACTTTTCCTACAATGAACGCAGAATTCAAAACAACGTACAAATTTCAAAAGCTGCAAAGCCAACGCTTACATTGTTCTTATAGTTGTAATCAAAGCTTTATAAAAAATACCTTGCACACCACATGAAGAAAAATTTTGATAATGGTACAGATGACGCACTGATGCAGTTTATAGTCTTGAAAGTCTCGACTTTATCGGGAAACACCTGAACTAGGTAGATTAACTGGCTCAGCTGACCCACGTAGATGAATGATCCAGCGAATAACAACGTCGCAAACACTGACTGAATTGTGAAACCTACGAATAACATATAAATATTTTATAATGGGTAATTAAATAAAAGTATTAAAGCAAAAAAAAAAAATTTTATTGTCTTAGTTTCATTGTTATTTTTCTTTCACTAAAAAGGTGGCTTATTGTATGTATATGTCTGGCTACTTCCTGTTAAAAAAATATTTTGACGCCATAAGTTTTCGTAAAAAAGAAATAAAAAAAAAGAAAGTCTAATGGCGTCAACACATTTTTTCGTGAATACGGCCAGTAAGCAGAGTCTTTTTTCGTGAATTATGAAAGGAGGTTTCATTAAAAAAATAATTGCAAGTCTTTGATTTTTATTTTTATTACACATTGATAAAATAGAAAAAGGTGTTGATTTATTGACTATATTTTAGCGAGAAGGCTGGCTCTAATAAAAGAAACCCTGAAAGTGTTCATTTTATGTGTTAAGAGTTAATTTTGTGTACATGAGATTTAATCTAATAGCAGCAACATAACTTTTTCCTGATACAGCCAGTAAATGACATTAGTGCGACAAATCAAAAGAGGTTTTTATTAATCACGTATTTTTATAACAACAACATTGCTCTTCGTTAGGATTAAAAAATATATTTTATGCCACTATAAAATTATTTATTACTAATTACCTACTTACTAGGTTTATCATCCCCAAAAACGTTACGAATACCAACTAAATTTTGTATAGAGCTGACCATCGCCATGGCATCACCAATCGGATCGTCATTGTAAGATTTTTGTTCCAAGTAACTTCGTAATTTTTCTTTCAAAACTTTCATCTTCAAGAGTTAAGACTAGACTGAATGAAGAAACAATTGATAGTGTTTATTAGTTTAGGAAATAGACCAATTAACACCCAATTATTACAGCGATTGAGTTCAATTTTGTTTAATATACAATCAATAATTATTGTTTTTGATATTGTAATACCGGTAGTTATATGTTATTTAGACATATTAATTTGATGACTGTTATTAAATAAACTATTGTGTACAATAATATACAACAAACAGTGTTGATTGCTTGTAATTGATAGGTAATTTTAACGTCATGTGTCTTAGCACTTATAATACAAAGTTATACAAAAATAATTATATTATACCTACGTTACTTACTGGACTTTAAAATTTTAACGAGATTCGCCATCAAGTTAAATTATTTAAAATTATTTAAGACAATTCACAATAATTATGTTGACGTCTTGAAACGCAGGAAAATTCTTTCAGATATCTAGTGAGGAATGTTTAAAAATATTATTAGTTGTTTAACATTAAAAACTCTATATAAACAACTTCGTTAAAATATTCTTGTGAATATATCGAGTACCTACCTGCTCAAAAAGAGCTCTAATAACATTTTTCTTGACAAAAATGTCAACATAGATAGTTTCCATTTTCAAAAATAAATACCGACTCGAGCTTGGTTATCCATTCACTGACAATATTGTGTAAAACACAGGCACCTAACTAAATAGTTGCCTATCCATTACGATACTGGGCTGTGTTAGTCTAGTCTACGTACGTACCTAAGCTGAAATGTAAATATGCCTTTCCCACATAACAGGCACGTCGGCATGTACCATTTGGCATTCATTTCCTAAATGGATGTACCATGTGATTGATTCTGCAGTACATTTGTTACCTCTGCGGGCAATGGGTGTGGTGTCTAAATTAATCACTCAATTTGCCGAAGTGCTCGCTCCAGATTCGATGAGGTCAGCCATAGGCATGTTTTTGGTTACAGCTATAGACTTTTTTGATGTGAACTTTAAACTTTAAAACTGTAATAGAGATAGGAACATATTTTGTTTAAGTAATTGGTGCATTATATGCACGAAAGGGGTGAACAGATTTTGACGAATTTTCCTAGTATATATTCACCCCTCTTCTGTGTCTATTCACCCCTCGAATTCTATTCACTCCGTTTTACCGTATCTAATGTTTCTAGCTTTTTTTATGTCTGACGGAATTAAACTAAAATTAAAAGTCAAAATATTTTATTTTCAATTAGATCCTTACAGACACTTTAGAACGTCAAACAAAATATATAGTGCTTTAGAGATATAAAGTGTCAGTCTGTCGGTCAGTCCTCTTAGTGAAGCTATTTAAAAAGAGAAGAAGCTACATAAATCCAGATTCTTCAGATTATTTCAAAAATCCTACTCCAAAAATAAAAAATGTTGACGATCTTAAAACTTAACCCACAAGCCAAAAATAAAAAATCTAATACTTACGTTAATAACTAATTTCAAATGCAAACATAAGTAGTCGTTGTTCAATAAAAGTACCTATAAATACGTATCCATAATATAGTTTGCCAAAATGAGTTTTATAAATAAACAATTTTTTTATGTAATAGGTCGGCAAACGAGCAGACGGATTACTTGATGGTAAGCAATAAGCGCCGCCCATGGACACCCGCAACGCAGGAGCTACGAGTGCGTTGCCGACCTTTTAGGGATTAGGGATTTCGAGATTTAGGGATTGAGGAGGGATTGGGGGAGGGGAAGGAATGGGCCTCCGGTAACCTCACTCATACGGCGAAATACAACGCTGTGGTTTTTTCACGCCGGTTTTCTGTGAGGCCGTAGTATCACTCCAGTCGAGCCGACCCATTCCTGCATAAGCATGGCTCTCCCATATTTAAAATTTATTTTCCCTTTATCTAATATACTTCTTGGAGAAGTAAGAGTTACAATAGCTAATAAAACGGTGGCTAAAGATGGCAGGAATAATCAAAAGTTAGAATGTTTACTTAGCCTTCAACGTTCTTAAACTAAAATCACCTGAGTAGCTCCATTGTTTACCGTGCTATTTAATTTCAAATAAACTTTGTTCGTGGCTCCTGAAGTTAGAACTTTAAAGGGCAAATGAAACTCCAAGATAAAGTAAACCACGTTGTTTTGTAAACAGTATCTAGCTGATAAATAAATAATTATGTGTATTTAAGAAACTTCGCCTCGTGCTCGTTCAGTAGTTATAACAATAGCGGTTTTTGAGCTTATTATAGCACTCAGCGCGTTGCGTTCCGAGCGCGCCTTAAAGAGTGATTGCACCAGCACAGATGTGGCCCGATAGGGCAGATGTTCAGCCAGGGTTTGGAGGTGCAATAACGCAATAGTATACCCCGGTATAATATGGCCCCGGCCTGGAGCAGAAGGAACGGAGTGATTTTTAGTCAGTTAAAGACTGACACTCCTCGCCCTAAAGCAGGAAAAGCCATTTGATGATTTTAGCTCATCAAAAAAAATGTTATTAAGGTGCTGATTTTAATCTCTGTCATGGACATTTTATTAAGTAGAACACTACTATGAACCTTATCAAATTTGGAGCTTTGTATTTTGCTTTACCTTTTATGTAGCTAACGATTACTAACTGTAAATACAGACATTAAATTTTATTATCTAGAAACTAGACCAAAAAGAATTACTTACGCTAGGATTTCCCAAGTGATAAATAATAGGCTTAAGCAAATATTGAACAAAGTCAAAAGTGTACCGGGAATTCAGGACCACGAAACCACGAAAGGAGGAAAAAATATTATGAGTAGGTAAAAATAAAAATAAACAACAAAATCTCTCATCTGATATTTGTCAACTCGTACCTTACCCTTAAAGCTGCAAAGGAAAAATAATTTTACTTGTTTCGCTATTAGGTCGAAAATAAATAAACAATTGTTTACATTGAAAACAACCAAACCTCACTTTTAAGTTCGTGTCAAGGACAAAGTGGGATCGACCCCTGTTAGTAGTAGCCCTGACAAAATATTATGATAATCCCGTTCTTACAGCAGTTACGAAATATGAGGAGGTGAAGGGGTTTATGCAAAATAAATAGCTACTATGTAAGTAAGTAGATAAATTCATCTTTTACGATAACTTGCATAATCAAGTTTTGGTTCTTTTTTTACAAGAGACATTATTTTATCGAGAATTATGCTAAATTTACAAATAGACTGATTTCACATCAAGTAAATTCATCTTTTACGAATACATGCATTATCAATTCTTACGATTTTTTTACGAGAGACATGTGACATGTGACAATGATTTCGCATCAAGAAAAATGGACATTGGACACACAACGAATAGGTGTTTAAAATTTTCCTTTTCATATGTCTTGTTATACCCACTAGTGTTTGTATATAAATAAAACTTCTTAGAAAACCTAAAACCTAAAATACCTTTTCATTACAATCCTGCTTTTTGAACCAGCATAAAATCCTAACTGGAATTTCATGTAATAATTCCTAGCAAAAAATAAAAGTGAACACTAAAGATAAAATCCACAAAATCCTCGCTAACAAAGTCACGGAAACAAAGCTTACACGTTTATAATTTCCCCTTGTCGTAAGTATACTTTGCTACAGTAAACATTCCACATCCTTTTTATTTCGTCCCTCGCAAAAATGTAGAGAAGCTTCGTACACGCCACCGGGCTGTGGACCAAAGGTATTTAATTACTTTTAATCGCCCGTTTCGCTTACTCTGGATAAATACGGGCAAGCGGCCAAATTGGAACATATTTTTATTACGTCTTTTACACTGAGGACAGACGCAGGTTTTATATTTTTAAATTAACAGGTTAGCCAACATTTTTCCTTACCTTTAACAATTTCGTACATCGACATCATAAATTCCCGACCTTTTTATGTTATAACAAGTCTAAGCGCTGCATGCTACGGCGACTACGAGGATCGTAACCACGCGTAGCACATTCTACGATTAGCGTAGCAGTTTATTTTTTTCTGTATTACCTCGATTTTAACATTTGAAATAAACACAACACAAAATTACTTGAAGCACTGAGTTAAGTTTAAAATACCGGCAAAAGAAAATCTATCTTCATTTATCATTATACAAAAAGAAAAAGAAACATTTTTCTATCAAGAACCACTGCTTCGCGACGTGTCTAGTTTCTATAGAAAAGGCTTTAATTTCCGCTCTTGAACGAGCGGTAATGGAATGAATCGGGTGAGGTAATTACCTTCTACAATCGTTAGTCTGCTTGAAGTGAAATGCGTAAGCCGTGTAAATGTGAAGTAGCCATTGTTGCTTCGCCTGGCCTCGTAGTTGGACATTGGTTTTTGGGCTAAATTGGTTGGTAACTTTCAATTTTTAGGAAGCACTGCAAACGTGCACGTTGTTTAGCTGTATTTTACCCTATTAGGTTTCACTTTAAATTACATAATATTCAAGAAACCTTACTGAACATCAGTTTTGTTCCAAAAATAGTTTTCAATTACGTTTTTCTTCCAAACTAAGAACAGCAGAAGTAATCGAAACCATTTCGTGGCAAAATGAAAGCAGTTGAGACATTAATCTCGCCAAAAATAAAACGAGCACGCTCGAAACGGTTTCTTCAAGCTTACGTGGTGATCCTCAATATAAACAGTCTTGATGGTTTTTACACTTTTTTCCATTGAATGTTTCTAAATTCGGAATGCGATTCTCTCCAAACGTCTTCTTTTACAGGACACCACACTCTCATCTGCAGTACTCAAGCGATAAGGAAGAAATTGTGTAAGTGTCTAAATGTAGCTTTTTGCGATGCAAAAATCATCAATGACTTCTTTCGACCAGGATGAGGCGTGGGAGCAGACTCAGACAGTGACAGACTCTTACTGACTTACCAAAAAATCACTCTTCTCCTTCTTCACGCCGAGGTAAGGCAACCAATTCCGATTGCCCCGTAAAAAATAAAATGTAGCTACGAATAGTATCTGGCTTAGAAAATGTATTCAATGTGGTTAATGGCAATACGGGTATCTAAATAACAACGCTTCTGAGATACCTACGTAGATGTACATTGTCGACTTCTACATCTCATTATAGTTATAAGGATACGTTAGCAAAATAAAATTGCAAACAGCTATTTTTTTTTAAATTAGGTATTTTAAAACGTGAATTACATTATTTAGGTAACACTGTTTAGTAGGTTTACCACAAATATATAACTATTTACGTTCCGTAATAGGTTAAGTACCTAATACACCAATACATACATAAATACCTACATACATGGCACGTTTCGCACTAAGGCCTTGAATGTGGGCAAGTCCTACACTAGATTTCAATTAAACAGCTCAATTGTTAGACAGATGAACGACCGAATATCTATACGTATTGTCCAGATCACTGATTGATTTATTGTTACAGAGCCTATATTCGGCTCGTCGAGGGCATACATTAGCTGCGATCGGGATCAGCCCCAGCTGCGTCAAGCATTTAGTTATGAATGTATTGTCATTTACATGACATGAGTAGGTGTTTACAGCCTTTATTTTGACAAAGGGCATAATTAATTTTGAATTTATTACCGAAATTAAAAATAACTAATATTTAGTCCACCGAATACGGATAGAAGATGGTTATTAATTATGTTGTTTTATCTGTAATTTGTAAATTTATATTATTTTATAAGCTAGTAATAGCCCTCTTTGCAACGCCTGAAAAAGGCCGTTAAGCTGTGCCTGTTATTTTATTTTAATTTAAGATCCTTGTAAGGTGGTAAGGTGGGTCCTTAACATGCAAATAAAGAATTTGAATTTATCTGATATCTTTAAACGGGCAATTCTTGCAAATAAAAACATGCTCTTTGCATTATATAATGGAACAATTCATCATAATCATGAAGGCTTCCGAGACAATTGATTTATAGTTTGGCGAAATACAACGCTGTGGTTGTTTCACGCCGGTTTTCTGTGAGGCCGCGGTATCACTACGGTCGAGCCGACCCATTCATTCCAAAGCATGGCTCTCCCACACTGCTGCTGTCCTTAGTGACGCTGATAGCTTACTACCATGTGATTCGGCTGCACGTAAAAAACGGAGGGCACGGCCCATACAAAATATACCTAAGTAGGTATTTTAACGCTTTAGTTGTTAGCTAATAGGTTATTGAATTCCTAGTAAATTCAACGTAAGTACCTAGTATTCAATAGCATAATCCATACATGAATAGATACCACGGTCTATTTCCAGACGTAAAGGAACTTGGCTAATAATAGCACCCTACCTACGTAGATAGCGGTATGTAATAAATACCAGTCTGTGAACTTGTCTGAATTTTACCTACTTATATAAGGAGATATTCGTCGTCGTGGGTGTTCTTGTACTTAAGTTAGTACGATATTCGTGTGTAGTTCGATTACATGAATAAGAACCTAATTCAAACTCAATCCCTCCCCCAATCCCTCCCCAATCTCTAAACCTCTAAATCTCTAATCCTCAATCGGCAACATAGCAAGTCTTCAGTAGTAGCAGGTGACCATGGGCGGCGCTGATAATTGCTTACCATCAGGTAATTCGCAAGTTCGTTTGCCGACCTATCACATAAAAAATTCTTAATGTTGATTATCATCAGCCATAGCATCGGGAAGACATCGCTTTAAGAACGAAAGCCTCCGCCTAACGATGACTGTACTCGCGCTGTGTAATTCTGCAGCTTATTGGACGCTTTCGTATGACATCCAGCCAATCACAATCGCAAAACTTTTACTAAGCATGGAGTTAAACCGAAGTAAACCTTATTTAAATTTATTAAGGTTATATTTAGGTTTGACTGACTTCTTTATTGTCTATGTGACTTGTGGGACGTCACATGTCCTAGTGTGACATTAATGAAATAGGCACACCAAGCACACCATGACACATTTTTTTCTTTTGTAATGTGATAGCTGTTGCAGCGGAATCTATACTCTTCTCTCATGCAAGGGGAACGTGTTCTCAATTTGAAATCAAACAAAATATAAATTTCCACTTTTAATTTGTTTTTACATATAACAGACTCAACAAACATACAAAACAACAGGATGTAAATAAAAAAACCATTCCAAAAACGCTTTGTCACATACTTGCACTGTTTTATCTCATAGCTGTAAATACAGGGTGTAAGGGACAGCCTTCCGCAAACTGATAGGGTGGATTCAGTATATCGTCTTAAGTTGACCGGTACATGAAATTATTTCAGGAACGTTATGGGAATCCAATTAAACCGATTTGTTTCATTACCTTACACGCAATGTATCGCTACCACCGCAAACGCACGCAGCGAACGGCAGCGCTTTTAGTATTATTACTTTACACTATGGGCAGCGCCGCGACCTTACCTTTCGGACAAACGGTCGCGCTCGCGCCACGTTTTAATAACAATAACTTATTATTTACAAGATAGCCGCATTACTTACAAAAGACAATTTAATAATCGCGCTCGCGCCACGTTTTAATAACAATAAATTATTATTTAAAAGATAGCCGCATTACTAACAAAAGAAAATCTAACAATCATAACATGGTAACTGATAAATGATAAAAAAAGAAAAATGCGTAGGTACCTTAGAATCGCTCCGGTTTCCGGCTCTGGAAAGCATTTGTGATGCCTCGCATTTCGTACTCACTTGCACACGCACTCACAAACACTTTTTCTTTTACGTACAAAAAGGGGTCCAAATGGGTTACGTCACTTACGTCTGGGGATCGTGCTGGCCACGGTTGCGGTCCAAACCTACCTAAACTACGTTTAAATAGGAAAGCACTGGTAAGTGGTAGCGTCTCGTTACGTTAGCGAACCAATTCCAAAATCCACGTAGGTATTGGTCTTTCGGCGCCTTTTTGTCTGGGAACAATGGGCTGGTTTTCTAGCAAGCGTTGATAGTCACCAGTAATTATCCTGGAGTCTGATGGATGCCGACGGTCAGGATACCTACACTACTACAACACATTATCATCTCCCCATAATCACGCGCGCTAAACGTACCTAGGTAGTAATTTCGCACAATTTCTACAACAAAACTTCACTACACTTCACACACTACATAACTAATAAAACTTAACAACACTACTTATAATAAAACTTTTAAGCCGAATGCGCGAGCGATCCGTACCAACACACGCTCGCAGAACATAAACAGTAACATCGCAGCAAGGCACAATGGCGACTGCATGTGATGAGACACACACAAACATAAATCTGTTGTTGCCAATTACACGAAAATTAGGTACAAAATTTCGGGGTAAAAAATTAAAAATTATGCATGGTCGTAATTTATCATTCTGTTATTTTTTGTAGAGAAATGAATTGATTAAGTCAATTTAATTCTAATTTCGTTGTTTAGTTAATTTAGAATAATAAAAGTGCAGTGTGATAGAAAGCTGTGCTTCCATTCCAGGGAGATTGTGTTTAATTTCTGGCTCGACTATCAATTCATGGCTATTGTGAAGCCATGTAAATCTGTAAGTAGTTTAAAAACTAGCCAGTAATCGCTTAAAAAGAACAATCAATTGATAAATTAGGTAGTATTTGTAAATGCTTCTAGACTAATCTTTATTTATTTTTTATTCAATTTATGTGCGCGACAAGATTTTCATTAATTGATTAATGAAAATCTCATCAATGTGATTATGAATGCAAAGGAGTTCTCAAGTTTTAGATAAATTTCGATAGTTCTAACATTTTCGTTTACAAAGGTAGAAAGGTAGAAAGGTAGAAGAGGTAACAAAAGTTAAAAGTTGGCAACACTGGTTCAATCGACAGAAAGGGACGCAGCTATTCTGTACGTTGGACGGGATCGTAGGTATACCTACGGCGGCGCGGCGATCGGCGCGGTGGGGCGCCGAGCCGCTGCGCCGTGACCGCGGTGCGGTGAGTTCAAACGACTCGCGCTAGGTAGAAATTGAACAGCTGATTTCATGCGTAGTTCTTTAGAGAATTCACACAACCATTGCGTATTTTTTTGTTTTAGCTGTGTTATTTACATTAATGTTATTCTTCATACATAGAATGTAATTATACATTAAAATAGAGGTGTAGGAACTGAAAAAACGAAAAAAAAATTGAAAATTTTCCTGAAAGAATTTTCACTGGAATATGATTCAGAATAAGGAGCTGAATGCACCCTGTTAATTTGTGGAGGGCTGTCCCTTACACCCTGTATAGCACCTCGCAAAATTTGTACTATGGTATATTTCAATGCCAAGAATAAAATATAACACAATGATGCATTACAAATATCGACCATAATTCTTTCACTTTAAGGTGCATTATTCACTTACTGTTTGGCTGTTTACGAAACGCCCTTTATTCACATATTAACACTTCCACACAATCGCAAAACAACTATTTACAGTTACTATCGTGAGACATACTAAATTTATTAAAACATACGGCTTACTCATGTGAACTTATAAATATGACTTCCGGTGTGATTTGAAACTAATCGAGCACTTCTCGAAAAGTTGACAAAAGTAAGACGTAGATACATTTCAATCAAATATGTACACGTCAAATAATCTAAGAACAGGCTACTTTATGGATTTTTATGTTATGAAATAATTTGTGTGCGCTATACAATTCGTTTCTTATGGCGTGGTCCGAGTTGAACTCTTCGCTGCGAGAAGTTGGATTGCCCTCTATTCTGATCCGTTATCCTCGGCCTGTCTATCTCCATGTTGAGTAACTGGTCCAGGGTCTAGATTTGAAACAAAGACAATAAGGAGGTACTTTAATAACATACCTTGACACATATATCTACCTACATAAATTTATCTACAGGAAATACGGTTTACTCAAATATTTAAGTCCAAAACTTTATAAACTACAGCGAGTTATGACGTCACATTTGTTTTAGTCAAACATCTTAACCCGTCGAATTTTATTTAGGTACAAATTTCAAATTTGGCTATTTTTATTCTACTCAGTTTAAAAATACAGCCAAGAGCGGTTAAAACACTAATAAGGTTATTAGTGGAACCAAAATATTTTTTTTATTGACAACAGTATTCACATTAATGCTCAATTTGGGGATGAAATCTGAAATATCAACTCAATTTCCGTCGCCATAACATCGTAAATCGAGTGTACCAATAAAATAAAGTTAGTAGTTACCTTGCTGCTGTCAATAAGCCCTCTGTCTTTCAAGGCATAGGCAATCTCGTCGAACTTCTTCTTTATATCTTTATTGTTTAATTTCTCAACCGCTGTTCGGACTCTTTCGATCTAAAATAATTTATAAAAACACTTCAATCTTCTGCTATTCAAAAAGCAATATATAATATTGTAATAACTTTCTTGAAATCGGCTACACAAGCTTCAAGCAAGCAAGAAACAATATATAAGCCCACATTTGTCTTCCTAATAATAATAATAAAGTAGCAACATACGTTTCTGCTGGAGTAAAAGCAATTTTAAGTTTTATTACTATGAGACTAAAGATAATTATTATTAACACTTACGGCTTCTTCAAAGAATGTGTGTTTATCGCTCTGCGCGGGCGAATCAATTTCCATAACTGACTTTAGTACTGGAAACGTGTCTTCCACTCTTCCCATATCTGCTAATGCCATTACCTAATAAAAATAATAATTCTAAGTTAAATAACTCATTATTTCATTAACAACAAAAGGACATAAAACCTTTTTTATTTGGCGGAGGTAATGCAAGACAAGGGTCTGGTTCTTACTGACAAAAAAAACTACCATGTGGTGGTGCTGGGACATGTTCTTAGGACTTTTTTTCATTAATTATTTTGTATTTCCTTTTTCCTCTATTTACGACATTCTCTCCAGCTTATCAAAATTACTTCTTTTAACGTTATACCAAAATGGAGAGGAATTACATATTTGAGATTTACTTCTAGCTCATTAGTAATGAAAGACGTGATTTTTTGAAGAAGTAGCCTAATTATTGCTTAACTCATTAATTAACGAGAGTCTATTAGTACATAACTACTCTAACAGCTTCTTAGGTGCAAACAACACTACTATTTGCACCTACATGGAATATACATAATATGAAAGGCGCGTGGTGTTTTTTCAAGAAGTCCGCTTCTCATACTTGTATAAGCAAGTTAAAAATTTCCATGACCTCAAAAAATCCCTGCAACAGATAATCTATAAACCTATATTTGATATTTGTGTCATTGGATGTGATTTATTTATCGTTAAAGTGGATCATTACTTAAGTAATTCCGTTTTATTTTGATATTTGAGCATGGGTTGGTGTTTGGTCGCTATATCGCATGGTGTTAAGCGATGTGCATCCTACGATAGAACACGACTATCCCCATAAGTAACCTATCTACTCGGGCTTTGAATACCTCCAGATATTGCCTTTCAGAGTCAGTCAGTCAGTCAGTCAGCGGAGTTTGTCGATTGCGAATTTATATTGTACCTATTTGTTAATTTTTGCCACTTTTTACAGCGCCTCACTCAATATTAATTGCAGGGCAGGAGCTGTTACTGTCCCACTCTTAATAGGTATACACCCGCTACATAAGATAGAAAGATTGTGTCGTAATTGAGGAAGTTCGAGCATTATTTCTACATTATTTTGCACTTTTATATTTTTAATACAAATTTGTTTTCTTATTCCTATGTCAAATTTTTTCGAAGAAAACAACAAACAAACTTATTCATTACAATAATACTATCATAACGTGATAATACAAAAAGCGCGAACTTTACCCCCACCACGACAAAATCCTGCCGCGTTGCCAGTAACTGTACGGAAGTTCCCAGTCATTGGCGTCATTACCGCTAACCAGTGTAGAGAGACTAAACATTGAGTGAGTGAGCATGTATAGTTGAGAAGCTACAATACGAAATATTCAACAAGTGTGTACAATATTATTACTTAACCATACATTTAAAAATTTATTTTATATAGGTGAAAGAAAGGATAATTTGTGAATTTATTACCCACCTTAATATTTCTAATAGAAACATAATGCTGTTTTTGTGATGTTATTGATTCCATTGCTATATGTGGTGCTCCTTGTTTTAAAGCCAAACCTGATAATGAAAATAATTATAAATTTTAAACAATAACTTTTAACTTACACTTATGTGTACTTATAATTATAATAAAATAGCACAAACCTGCGAAAAATGTGCAAGCTCTTCTAACTGGTACACTTCCAGTGCTGGCCATATCAGACCATAGTTTTGATGCATATTCCAAACTTTTTGGTGTGTTCTGAAATTGAAATGTTATTAAAATAGATTATCTAAAATTAACTAGATTTTTTTCTACACTATGAGTAAGTGAGACATTTTAATAATAAACTGGGGTCAGATTTTAGGCATTATGTTTTTTTATAATTTTTACTTTTGTAATGTAGATATAAAATCCTGTTTCGTTTTTTTTTACTCTAAACGCAACAAGTGTACAATTAAATGTATTTAATTGAGTAAATTCTAATCAAATTCTATTTTCAAACATTTAAAAATAAGAAAGGAGTTCCTAATGTGTTTTCTTTTTCATTGTACAGATTCACAAACACTTACTTGTTTGTAGCAAGCTGCCAGTACAAGAACTACACAGTATTTAGGAAACTTGACCATTCCAATCTGCTTCTGTTGTGCCTTATCAAAAACTTGGTACATTTCATCATACATCTCATGACTGTACAGCAAGTCTAGTAGAATCTGGTGACTGATCATCTGGTCAAAGAAGCCTTCATTCTTTGGATCATGGAAACACTGGAAATATAAATTATTATTAATAAGGTAAGTGTTTAAAAATGTTTATTTGTCACATTTTTATTGGTAATGTTGTACCTTAGACTTTCAATTGTGGTTTTTCGAGACACAGTACTTGATAGTACATGTATGCATTTGGTTAGAGTTTGATGAAATAAGAGGGTTAAGATATGAAAAGAAAAAAGTATGAGTCAGACTTGCATAAAAAGGGTACCAAATTTGTGTTTTATATAACATTTATTTTTATTATTTGCTATTTACATTATTAAGTTAATTAATTTAAGAATCTTAAATGCCTAACAATACTAAATAGTATTTTTGTAGTTTACCCAAAAAGCGTAAATATAGTTTATATGTAATAAATGGTTCTAGTGATATCTTTGTTAGGTTTGGGTTGATGAAATAAAACTAAGTTTATTTATCAAATAGCAGAGGTGGAATTTATTATTTTACTTTAGGAGGTGTGTGTTGCCTGAAGGCGTTAGCAGAACCGAATGAGGGCGAGATGCAAACATCTCAGTGAGGGTTAGCTGGCCACTTAAGGCACTTATAATAGTGGCGTGAGAATAATGAGTAGATTGATTTTTGTTATTCCAACACGCCCCCTCAAAAATTAATCTAAAATAAAATTAATTACAAACATAGTATCACACACCATCCTTTATCTGGGGTACAATCATTCAATGGTCCAACATTCGTTGCATAGGATTAGGGAAACCCAGAAAAACCTAATCAGACCATGTTATACTTATTCAAAATCTTAACCTAGTTAAGTATTTAATACTATAGATTTTATTCATATATAAAATATATTGTAATCTATTCTAGTCCCAATTTCTCTCTCAACTGGGAGAAACGAACAGTGGGTAACTGTTTCGTTAACACATCAGCCAACTGGTTACCTGTGGACACATAAATTATTTTAATAACATTTTTCTCAACTTGTTCTCTAGAGAAATGATATTTGATGTCGATATGTTTTGACCTTTTATGACATGTCGGATTATTTGCAATGCTTATGCAACCACTATTGTCCTCATAAATAGGAATCGGATCCAGTATTTTAATGTTTGTACTGGTTACTAAAGACTTTAACCATAGAGCTTCTTTTACGGCCTCAAATAGTGCCATGTACTCTGCTTCAGTACTAGAAACTGCTACTGTTGATTGCCTTTTTGTTTTCCAACTTATAGTGCATTGCTCAAATAAGTTAAACAAATAACCCGTAGTACTTTTTCTATCCACTTCATCAGAACCCCAATCAGAATCAACATAACCACTTAACGGTATTTTATCTGAATTGCTCCGACGATAAGTCAATTTTAAATCAAGCGTCCCTTTTAAATAACGAAGCACTCTTTTTAAGTGTGACCAAAGTGCATGGTTGTTTTTGTTAGCAAATCTACTCAAGACGTTTAGACTATAACTCAAATCGGGTCGAGTGCAAACCATAATGTAAATTAAACATCCGATAAGGTTTTTACAAGGGGCATTCATTGTTTTACACGAATTTAAAGCTTCGAAATCAACTTTAGTTTCAAGTGGAGTACTGACATGTTTACAGTCACTCATGTTAAATTTATTAAGGACTGTTTCTATATACAGTTTTTGTTCTAAAGTTATTTTGTTATTGCTTCTTTCAATTTTAATCCCCAAGAAACACTTTATTTCTTTCAAATCTACCATTTTGAACCTTTTCATTAAGTATTGTTTAAAGGTGTTCATGGTTTTGATATCTGCCGTTGCGATAACAAGATCGTCAACATACAAAATCACATAAATGTTTTTAGAAATATCACCTGCATCTAATATATATAGACATCGGTCAGCTGATGAATATCGAAAACCTTTTTCAATCAAGACTTGTTCGAACGTTGCGAACCAACAACGTGCTGATTGCTTTAATCCATATAACGACTTATTTAATTTACAGACCAAGTTGTTATCTGTACATGGGATTCCTTGTGGTACTTTCATAAAAATCTATTCCTCAAGTTTCCCATTTAAAAATGCCGTTTTTACATCCATATGATGCACTAGCAATCTATACTGATTCGCGAATGCTAAAATAAATCTGAAACTTGCTATTCTTGCAACAGGTGCAAACGTTTCATTATAATCAATAAGATATTCTTGATTGAAACCACGAGCTACTAAACGCGCTTTATATTTTAATGGTTTTCCAGATTCATCATTTTTAATAGAAAATACCCATTTACAATCAATGATATTTCTGTCAATAGGTTTCCGTACCAGGGTCCAGGTTTCATTTTTGAGGAGTGAATTAATTTCCTCTTTTATAGCACTTTCCCATAAATGTCTATCATCCCTGGATTGGATTTCATCAAAAGATCTAGGTATAGAACATACTAATGATTGTGCATGCAGCAAATAATTATTTGATAGATCATCTTTACTGTCATCATAACACACTTTAGGTATGTTTTTAATCCTTTCACTCCTTCTTAGATTCGGAGATGTTTTATCATCTTGAGATATTGTCAATTCATTTGGAAATGCAGAGTCTGAGTACACATCTGTTTCACTTACAGATTTATTAGATGGTGGATCTAATGACATAGGTATTTCGAACGTTTGTCTCATATAACTATCTGATTTCATCTTATCAGATTTTTGCACCTCCCAACCATTGGAGTGCCCGTCAGATTTAATGGAATTTTTACTCACAATTCCTTCAGGCTTAACTGGCCTACTTGATAAGAAATTAATCTCATCAACTATTACATCTCTGACTTTCACAAACCTTTCGTCTACCAGTAACCACACCTTATATCCATTTGGTTCATATCCAACCAGGATACCTTTTGATGACTTTTCATCAAACTTATGTCTTTTTGTCTTATTCATAAAATAAACAGTTGAACCAAAGACTTTCAAATACTTAAGTTGCGGCTTTTTACCATGCCACAATTCAAATGGTGTGTTATCAACTCTCAGTGCTTTTGTGGGTGTGATATTTACTAGATAAGTAGCAGTTAACACAGCCTCACCCCAGAATGTTTTCTCTAATTTCGCACCGGACACCATAGCCCGACTGCGTTCCGATAATGTTCTTATCATTCTTTCGGCTACACCATTCAAAGCTGGCGTATGCGGCACTGTTAAATGGTAGCTTATACCTTTTGTAACACAGTACTCTCTCATTTCTTTCGATAAATATTCACCACCATTATCACAATATAAATTGACAATACTCAGGTTAAAATGTGCCATACTTTTTGTTGCATAATCCCGAAAAGCAGTAAAAACATCTGATTTATGAGCTAATAAGTATGTTGCACAATAATGAGTAAATTCATCGACAAAAACGACAAAATAGTTTTTGTTGTCAAGTGTCGAAGGAGTGACGGGACCCGAAACATCTGTGTGCACCTTAAATAGTGGTCGTTTTGTTACCTTTGGCTTTGATTTGTTAAATGGTAAACATGCTTGTTTTCCATAAATACAAGCTTCACATAAGTTGTCACATGGCTTAATATGACTTATTTTCTCTATATCAGAAAACATTTCTTTATGCTTTATTTGCATAAATTTTGATTTACTAATGTGGCCTAAACGTTGATGCCACAATTCATAGTTATTTACGACTCTATTTAAAGAACACACAACATACCCTTCAAGTAAAAAGTTAATTCCAATTAAATTGTTCAAACACTCACCCTTTGTTACCAATGTCTTACCCGTGTCGAATATTTGTACGCTTCCATCTTTGCCAAAAATAATTGTCATACCAGCCTCTTGCATTTTCTTTACTGAAAGCAAGTTGTAAGGAATATCTTTACAGAATAAAACATCCTGCAATATACCTTTTAATCCCAAGTTACTGATAACCGGTAAGTTTCCCTTTCTTGTAGCCTGGATGTAAGTACCGTTCTTCGCCACGGAGATATTTACTGGTTTTTCTAATTCTGTAAACTTTTCCGCTAAATCTGGCCTGTTGATGAAATGGTCTGAAGCGCCAGAGTCCAGCACAAATGTAATTGTTTCTTGGTTATAACGTTTTATGGCATTTGCTCCTACCATAAATGCAAATCCAGATGCATTTGAATCAGTTGTTTCAGTATTCAGTACTTGTATTGTTCGATGGTATTCAGGCTTTTGAAACCGTTCAGTTGCCATCTTGTTGTAATAACAGTTTTTCATAATGTGACCTTTTCTTCCACAATGGTGACATTTCACGTTTTTAGATTTATAATTTCTTTTAAATCTGTTATTAAATAATTGTTGACCCCGTTTCTGTTGATGATAGGTCGCATTTGGGAATTTATAAGTTTTTGAAAACGACGTAGTTTTAGCTTGTAATACTTTTAAACTTGTGTCTCGATTTTCATTGTTTAGTTTAATTTCGTGGTCTAGCAATCTAGTTTTCACGAACGTCAAGTTTAAATTTTCTTCGGCTAAAGTTTCGATCGCAGTAATAACACTATTATAAGAGTTGGGTAGTGTCATGAATAAATGCGTTATTTTATCGTTCTCATTTAACGTTGCTCCCGCCGATACTAGTTCGCATATTAAATCATCAAAATTTTGAAAATGCTTTACTAATTGGTCTTCTTTAAACTTCATATTGAGAAGTTGTTTTCTTAAAGTTAACTGATTAGATGTACTTTTTCGCTCATATATCAAATCTAATTTATTGAAAATGTCTTTAGCTGAAGATTGTTCAGTAACTAAACCGAGTAAAGTGTCTGATAAATATTCTACCAAAATATTTTTCGCTATTTTGACACTTTTAATCCACTCAGTATTAGGTTCGTTTGGCGATTCTTCATCGATCACATGAAGTACATTAAGTTCACTTAATAGATTACGAATTCTTAATTTCCAAACACTATATCTTTCACCGTCGAATTGTTTAATGTTCCGTTTCAAGTTGGAGCTGTCCATTTTCACTGATTTTAATTTCACAGTATATTTATAAAAATAAAGTCACTTAAAATTTATTAATTGTCTTTTAAAAGTATTTACGATACTTCTAGTAATTATTATTAATTACACTGTACTTTACTGAACTGCAGTACTGGTTCACTGGTGCACTGGGGCACTGGGCCCATAACCTGTTAGGTTTGGGTTGATGAAATAAAACTAAGTTTATTTATCAAATAGCAGAGGTGGAATTTATTATTTTACTTTAGGAGGTGTGTGTTGCCTGAAGGCGTTAGCAGAACCGAATGAGGGCGAGATGCAAACATCTCAGTGAGGGTTAGCTGGCCACTTAAGGCACTTATAATAGTGGCGTGAGAATAATGAGTAGATTGATTTTTGTTATTCCAACAATCTTGCTATGGTATGGTCACATTTATTTACCTGTAATGCTTCTTTAGGTGCATCCAAGAAATGGAACATTCTCATAACAACTGGCCCAAAAACATAGGACCCAAATCGCAATTCAGTGTTTTGGGAATTAAACCTGAAAAATTATAGTGACAGTTGAAATTATAATGAAAAAATATGAAATTTTAAAATCAACATGCTATATTAATGACAGCCTTTTTATTACTTCTTTATGCCTAAACCACTAAACGAAATTTGGTACAATTGTAGTTTTTCATCCCTGAGTATGACTACTTTATTAGCACTTACTTTTGAATCATATTCAAAATGAGCTCCAAGTCTGTAGGTTCTGCTAAATGTATCATGTTCTTTAAGTCTTCAGTAAATATCATAGTGTCTTTGCTTGACACAAACTCATTCATCTTCGACCTGAACTTGTCAGCATAGTTAGTAAATTGTTCCTTAGACCTCTTTCTGGAGAGTAAGAACCCATCGATACCGAGCGTGGCAGGCGAATAGAGAGTTTTGACTGAAAATTAAAGTAATGATTCATAACCATACACATAACATAACAAAAGGCTTCGACTTTAATGTAACACAGCAAAATCCGAACAGGTTAATGAAATAAATCGTTAATTATACAACATTTAGATAATATCAAATAAAATTACATACCCTGGGTCAGGGTTAAGTAATTAGACGGAGTTATGATACGTAAATTAGAATAAAAACAACTCCTTGCTATAGAATTTATTATCAAAGCCATTATAATTGAATAAAATTTATTTATCTTATTTAACGCCGATGAACAAATTAAGAATTTTTAGGTTAGGTATAAGCCTGACACTTGACATTAAGTCAACATATGACAATGACATATTGACTTTTATGTGCCTACCGATTTCACTCTCTACATGTAGTATTATTTTGAATAATATGACAATTTTTTTTTTTAATTATTAGATTTAGAAAATTATTTTAAAACAAACGTCGTGTGTCATTAAACTATTTAATTTTTAAGAAAAAATGATGCGAAACCGAGAATAACAGTAAAACGTTTTGCATCTCTAGTCTACAAAAAGTGACGTAAAATTACAAATGGAGGTGTTTACGTGAAAATGTAAATTTTTGGTTATTTTTATTTTAATTTTACTGCAATGTTTGGTTGTTAACGTGATAGAACTAAGAATCGGCATCACTTTAGTGAAGCTTCGTTCAAGTAATTTGATTTAAAATACTAAGAAGATTTGTGTGTAATAAATGGCAAGATATTTCAGTGTGGCATAAAATGTAATCGTAAATGTATTGATTGATGAATCATCGAAGACGAGAATATGAACTAAAATCATTCCCGTTGTGAAAGCTAACAATTATTTGTGTAACTCAAGAAACCACTGTAATTTATATTCATTGTACGGTTTCCTCTGTTACACAACTTGCCTTACAGTATTCATATTTCTTGAACTACTTATAACTATTTCTAATGATATTCAATTATTCAAACACCAACTCTTTATGTGAAATACAAGAAAACATATTTAAATTTTTAGTTCCTAATTTTTGCTACCTATCACTCAATGACATCATGTTATGAATACTGGAATGAATGTAATTTATCTTAATATTTACATGTTTACCAGGATAAACATGTTTATATTAAGACTGGGACAAACAACTATATGCTACTATTGTTACAAAATTGTATAAGTGTATTAATTGTTCATTTCAACTAATTAGCACAATTTTTTCTAGCTAGCACATAGAAATTATGATTTGAAGTCCATTGCAATAGTATTATCATGGACGGAAGTGTTAAGTGACACTGATCACTGGACTTGATAACTGGACAATGTAATATGATGGAGGCATGTATGAGATGAGAGGTCACCAATCAACATGAAAAGTAACGACTGAGTAATGTTGGACCTGATGATAGTGGCAGGGTGGAAATGTAATCAAAGATATAGTTAACAATACTTAAGATAGATATGCAAACAGTCAACTTCATGAGGGTTGTATAATTTCCTTCAAACACTCTTAACAGAAACCAAATCTCAGGCTCTTTGAACAACATTCATGAAAGTGACACAAGGCTAATGCTTTTAATACACACATGTATTTTTTATACTTCTTCAAACCATTATTACAATTGGCTTCCATAGTTCTACTATAAATTGTAATATTTAATAATTATTTTGTATCTTTACAGATAAGTGGTGCTGTTCTTACAGAGTTTATTAGTGCTACTCAAATCAACAGGATTTGAAATGACAGACACATACAGCAGACATTCTCATAGCAAATCATTAAGATATCAAAAAGAAAAAAACATTGAGATGAAATCAAAGTCTAGAAGGTCTAAATATTCAGATGAAAAACATCATCATGTGGAGTCAAAAACACCTCCATTGCCAACCAAAAGTACTTCTTCACTGGAGGAATTGTTAAAAAAACGAGATTCTCTTAAACAAGAACTAAAAAAAATAGTAAAAGTTCCTGACACTCAACCAAGCATTGATTACAACAAAAAACGTAGGCATTCCAAAGAAGACTATGCTTATGAAATAATTAATAATAAAAAAAGACATGTTCATCATGAAACCAGGTCTAATAAAATTACCAAGAAAAGAAAATCTAATCATGAATCTTCTCCAGAACTGGAACATATACAACCGGAGTCAGAAGATGAAGAAACTATAATACAACAAAGAAGACAACAACGTAAGCAACTATTAGAAAAATTAAATGTTTTAAATGAGAAAAGCAATGAAAGTACTGAAGATACCAGCAAGGCCAGCTACAGTGAAGCTGAAAATACCAAAGGTATTAATAACACTCAAATCAATCAAATTATTTCAAAGCAAGTTACAGACATGTTCTCAGAAAAAGATGAATTTGAGTCTAAAGGTGCAACAAAAAATGCAACTCAGAATGAGGATGAGACTAATTTAAATTTAACTGATAATTGGGATGATGCTGACGGGTACTACAATATACGTATTGGAGATACAATAAACAATAGATACACCATAAAAAGCATTCTGGGTCAAGGCGTATTTGCGAATGTGGTGCGTGCTCAAGATAACATGGAAGGAAATGATTATGTAGCTATAAAAATTGTCAGAAACAATGACCTTATGTATAAAACAAGTTTGAAAGAAATAGAAATTCTAAAGCAAATACGAGAGGCAGATCCTGACAACAAATACCACTGTGTTCAATTCCTTGGACATTTTATGTATAAAAACCACCTTTGTTTATTGTTAGAGTCGCTCCACATGGACTTAAGAGGAGTCATTAAGAAATATGGGAAACACAATGGTATTAATATGAAAGCATTAATGAGCTATAGCAGACAATTACTCCTAGCTTTAAGACTTCTCAAAAAACTTGGAATCATCCATGCAGACATAAAGCCAGACAACATCTTAGTAAATGAAAAGAAGAATTTATTGAAATTATGTGACTTTGGCTCAGCTTCCAAGTGTGAAGACAATGAGCCTACCCCCTATTTAGTTTCAAGGTTTTACAGAGCACCTGAAATTATTTTAGGTGTGCCATACAAACATGGAGTGGATATCTGGTCGGCAGCATGTACCATATATGAAATGGCAACTGGAAAAATTCTATTCACAGGAAGCTCCAATAATAAAATGTTAAAATGCTTCATGGATTTGAAAGGAAGATTTTCTAGCAAACTTGTAAAGCGAGGGAAATTCAAAGACCAACATTTTAATTATAATAACAACTTTCTTCTTCATAAAAAAGATGAATTCACTGGCAGAGAAAAAGTTGTTGAAATGAGCAATATCAATGTCAGTAGAGATTTACTGCAAGAACTGAAAAAATGTAACAAGAGTATATTTATGAATGAAGAACGGAAAATAACACAGCTCAAAGATTTACTTGATAAGATGACAATGCTAGATTCTAGTCAAAGAGCACAAGTAAATGATTGCTTGAAGCATCCCTTCATTTTAGAGGAATTGGATAAATATTGAAATTGTTTATTTTGTTACAATAAGCTAAAAGGTTTAAATAAAACATTTTTTCAATAAAAGTATTTACTTTATTTAACTTCTAAGAGACGAAAACAACAAAAAAATATGCCATCAACCAAAATATCACTTGAGGTTTCATATAATTTACATGCAACTATCACAACTTAAAAGGAAAAAAATGACTTGGTCCTCAGTGGTAATTAAACAGTTGAAGAGAATTGACATACCCACTGTAGACCTATTCTGATTGAGTATATTGTAAAATCACTTCATCAAAATTAGTGTAGATTTCAAACAAAAAAAAAGTAAAATATAACAGGCTCTTATATACAGCGTGCCTTAGAAGTGTTTTTACGGAAAATATATTCGATTACTCTCCAGTAAAACCATTTTGAAATATAGTAAAATTTATTAGAGGTGGGAAATGTAAAACAATTGTATTGGTAACGCAATTGGTGTTGACAAGGACTTACATAATAATATAGTCAAAACTCTATCTTAATAAATTATTGATACAATTGAAATAAAAAATATCAATAGGATCATCCATCAAATAATGATCATAAATAAATGTATAATTGTCTTTCTTTAAATCTATGTAAAACATTGCTTGTATTCCAATTTCCACCGCATCTTTACTCTGATCCTCATAAAAAGTAACAAAAGTAAGTAGATTAATGCATCACAGTACAATAACATATAAACAAGCCTATATGTAGGTATCTATTACTGGCAAAGTCTGCAAATGAGTGCAGCAATTAATTAGTCTTCAAACTATTTATGGATCAACAGACTTTACCCGTAACATATCAATCACACTTAAAATACAACTCATTACTTACAATTAAGCATCTGTAGCACAATTCACAGAACAAAAAGAAATATATTTTACAAGAGATTGCTAACGCTGGGCGCCGACAGTAAGCTGCTAGAGGTTACATTGATGGCTTTTAGTCGATAATTTGTAATACAGGCATGAACACCGCTTGAAGTATAGTTGCTAATTGACGGAAAGTGTCGATAACGGTGAGTATTGCTAAGGAACAAAAAACTTATACATATATCAAAACGCCAAAGTTCATGGCTCCAAAAACAAGCACATGAGATACGGGTAGATATGGATGGAGATTACTGTAGAGCTCAAAAGCAAATGTACCTCCCTAAAAGTAATCCTGGCGACGCCCGTCTCTAATACTTGAAGTATGAATACTGTAGAATTACAAAAAGGACTAAGATAGGTGCAGACTGCAGTTAATTATAAGAGTTCATTTAAATCTAAGGACAGTCAACACATCAAGTTGTAAATGAACACTACTTAGTTCCGAATGATTGCTTTGTGTCGATAAATTGTTTAGTTCAGATATGTTAAATTTAATGAGTAACGCTTATGTACTTTAATAATAAACGATATGGTCAAACTAAAGTAAGTCATTTCCGATCATTTTGTCCATGTTACTCAAAATAATCAATCTTCTCCATACTTCAAATCTGACGAAGTCATCATAACCAAATAGCTTACAATCACAAGTGCTACAGAATGATTTCCGTGTTAATTATATTTATATTACTTTATTTAGAGCTTAGATAATCTAAATCAATATTCGCCCAACCTGGTTACAACTTTTTAAGTTCCTTCATTGCAATGTCGAAAAACTGAACAAGGCAACTAAATATAAAATCACAAGACAAGTCACTACTGTCACAGCAACTTTTATAATAAATCTACTCATTAACGACTATTACTTTAATCTAATGTCAAAATCTTATGGATGGAGCCATTACACGATGAATTAGGTAAGTATAATAGTTAGCAGAAATGGGATGAAATGCAGTCTCAATAATTCGATTTGATCACTGGCTTTACTTATCACAAAAGTAATGGTACGCAAGACAACATGTTGTGTTGGTAAATATAAAAGAGTTACCTATGAGATTCATTAAAGTAGAAAATAATATCAACTAGCTATATCCTCTCTTTATCTATCGTTACGCAACTCTAATAATATATACTTAATGTTTCTCTTTGGATGTGTGGAATTGAATAACACAATGACGAGCGTTTGTGGAGTCGTGATTGTTGTTATGTTGAGGGCATGTTTTGGCTTTGGAAGCCTGAGTTGGGTACACCGATCTCCATGGACTGGCCGGACGCTATCGAGTCGGGGCTCTGTAGAGACGCGCTGTACACCGGGTTCATAGGAGTGGTCCCGCCAGCCTCGAACAAAGTGCTGTCGTATACGCTATTACTCTGCTGGAAAATACAAATATTTGAGATCTTATTACATTCATTTCGCAGTGAACTAAAGAGTTCTTAAATATGTTAACATTACCTGATAAATGTAATCGGAATCTGTTTTCAAAGAACTGAAGCTCTGTTGGTGCGGCAAGGAAACCTGGTCTTCGTCCATAGGCTCGTCCATCTGAGCCTTGTACGAGAACATGATGCTCGGTTGAGATACGCTGAAACCATACATATACAATACGTTAAAATTTATTGGAAATGGTTTATTCAATAAGGGAAACATTCTCCAATCGACAATCATTATAATTATCGAAATTTTGTTAATAGACTATCATCTTTAAACCAAGGGAATAAAGTTACAAATCTATTAAATAAGTTCCTGACTTAAAGACTAAATTTTGCTATTACAATCTAGATTCGAGTCTGTGTTATAATACAAACTTCACATTCATCTCTATACTCTATTTCTATTCCCTTTGATAGGTACAACTAATAATGTGAATAGTCTATGATGATTAAAAAACCGCAAATAAAATTGCAACCCAAAAATCAATACAAAGACTTACCTGAAAAATTCGCTAAGGAATGTGTGGTAGACAAGAGGAGTGTATAAGGAGAAGTAGAGCCATGTAGTGACGTCGACAACGCAGAGACCAGACTGCATGTTGCCCCACGCAAGGAGTCCCGCGCCGACGGCCTGCGTCGTGTCCAACAGCGCCAGTAGCAACACGTACAAATAGAATGAGAGCTTAGCTGCAATAGAAAGAGTATTTCACAAATAAACAAACATATCCAAAAATTTGGTACAAGACATACATGTCATTCAAATATCAAAAATAAATATAATATTTCTGATTCAAATCGCAACAGCTGATTGCTCCTTTTGCATGGAGAAGTAAAAAAAATTGAGATTTGTTGATTGGTCTTATGAAAAAACTTGTTTTATTTTTGAGCACCAGAATCGGGTCCTTGAATATGTTCCTTGATTAACCTTACACATTGTATCAAGCTATAACTATTCACACACAAAAAAAAAATAGTTTCGGTAAAAATGAGAACCTCTTTAAGTACGTTTAATATATAATCTAGTGCACGAACTATGGCCAGAAATTTCGTGGTGGGGTAATTTGTTTCACACTGGTATTAATAATTTAATATCCCTTATAAGTTATAAGTTATAACTGTCAATACAAATTCCTTTTCTTATTATTCCACTAACTTACTTCCCAGTGCCGAGGTTGCGGGTCAAGCGCAATAAAATACAGGGGCCTGGAGCTCTTGCTCCAGGCCAGGAGGAGGAACGGAGTGGTTTTTAGTCAGTGAGGATCTGAGACTCCCTCTCGCCCCACCGCGCGAGAGAATCAATGTAATGATATCACCCTCTCAAAAAGGTAGACATTTAAACCAAAATTTGCTATATATTGGTTTAAATGTCTACCTTTTTGAGTGGGTGATATCATTACATTGATTCTCTGTTCAGAAAAAATAGTTAAAAGACAATGCGCAAACTTATCCCCACCATGAACAATATGGTCACGGTTTACGCCGAGGCATACACTGGTTAGTAAAATGAGTTCCTAAGCCGAATATAATGAATAAAAGTTGATTGGCCTTTCAGCCTTTGCCCTAGTGATGATAACAGACATAAAACCGTTAAAAATAATAATCATCGTTTAAACAGGTTGTTCTATCTATTCATAAAACGATAATACTGTTAAAATTTTAGCTACTCTCGCGCGTTTTCACCCGCTGCTCGGCTCCTACAGATCATCGCATGATGTTATGTAGCCCAAGCCTTCCGCGATAAATAATCTATTAAGCAAAATATTTTTTTTTTTTTCAATTCGAACCAGTATTTCCTGATATTAGGGAGTTCAAACAAACAATAGTCTTATAAGTATCTAGATAAACTAAAACTCAAATTATTTATTGTTTATAAAATTCAACTTGTCTATTTTATTCTATATATTAATATAAATAAATACCTATTTTGATGAACAAATATGTATAACATGAAAATTAATAAATTAATTCAGTAAAATAGCGAAGAATTAGTTTTTTTAAAGTTTAAACTTTATGATTTCTAATCAGCATTATGATTCTTGTATTTCTCCTCGTGGCACTCGGCGATTTGTTATTGTAGCCTTACAAATCACGCGTGGAGTTAAACAGTGCATAAACATAATAGATGGTTTCTATACTGTCCAACTGACTGCACAAATGAACTTTTTGTTACACTATTATATTTTAACATGGGCAGTATAGTCAAAAACTAAAGTTCTAAACTCAGTTGGCATAAAATGTAAAATAATATATTATTATATTCTAGAATGGTAGAGCAGCAAGCGGCGACGCAAGTGGTCTGGTGGCCTAATAAAAGGAAAAAGCTCTCTATTACTTGGCTACTGTTGATAGCATAATCTACATACACACAACTGTAACTCAAGGATATGTGAGTTCAAAAATAAAACATATATTTTGTTTATTAATCTCATAGATTGACTAGTTGTAAAGTAACATATTCTCTATATTAATAACAGTTTGTTAGCTAAGAGAATTCAAGTGTAAATATTGTGGCATGTATTACTGTGAAACATAATATTAAGATCATTGAAATTAGCATCAAATTTCATGGTCAAGAAACTTAGATTTAAGACAAAACAGTAAGCTCTGTTTTGTATTGTAGGGATAAGATCCCTGTTAGGATAAATATTCAATTTAAAATTATCCTTGTTAGGAAAAATATTCAATTTTAAATTCAGGGTTAAAATTTTTAAAAATTTAAAATCCATTTTTTATCAATTATAATATTGACTTCAATTTTATCTTAAATATACAAGAAATAATGTAGGTCATTAGCAGTAATGTTTTTGTAGAATCAGTTGCCAAGTCATTCGAGAAACATGTCCAACTGTCCAATAATAAACACTACTATCTCTCAGCTATAAATCATTCATATCATTAGCAAACTGGTTACACTTCCATATTTTATTATTATAATTATAAAAGATAACACAACTAGGAAACTATTGTAAATGCTAGTCTCATATCAAGGGTGATGCTTTATGCAATATGATGGAGAAACAAAACAATTACAACTTGTTAATGTAATTGTTATTGGAGGATACTTCTCTAATTTTATGATTTGTCACTTTTATTCAATGGTTTTATCAAGATATATATTTAAATCTACACAATTAACTGTACTTATTATTTAATTATGTATTTAAAAATATTTTAAAGTGGATAAAGTAGTAATTTCTGCTAATAATATTCACATTTACTTATTTTGGTAAATATTAATTGTTTTAAGAAACAAGTGTTATTGTGAAAAGACCAAAAAACAAACATCTGATTACACCTAATAATCAAAATCATGTCTACCTAACTTTGTAAGAACCTTAGCTTGTTTATTGATCAATACAATTTGAGTTAGGTACTGCTGTTTAACTAAGCATTAATGGTGGTATTTGATACAGATTTTTGAATGGTTCCAAAATGAATAGAAAAGATACTCACTTGGTAAAGCTAGATATTCTCTCAGTGGAATCCATGGCAGTAGCAATATTAAGAAGTAAATTAGTGCAAAGACTAAAGATGATGTAAACCAGAACAGCATCCCACCATGCCCAAACAGGTCATAATCTCTGGTGTCCACATGAAACATGTCATCCGGCATGACAATCTCAAGTGTACCTTGAGTCACAGTGAATGCAAGGGATAACAGAGATGTTGCCAGTAATACATATCTAATACTGCTGCGGCTATCCAAATGTCCTGAAACACACAGTAATATTATTTAAAATTTGTTAAAAACTCCTTTCTGTTGAACATAGCTAAGAACAATAATGAATTTAATTTAAAATACAAGCTTGTGAAAATTTCTGACAATGACTTGAATGACAAATAAAATAAGATAATCAAACAAAAACTACGAAGGTCAATGAAACACTTACCGAAAGCTAATCCGAATATGACAACACTCATTTCTGTTGCGAGCAGAAAAAATCGCACCATGACCCACAAAACCTTGTCTACCAGGCCACCCAGAGGCATGGCAGCATTTACAGTCATGGACACAGCACATCGCACCAGACTTATGATCACATTGCCCCATACCAATGTATAAAACGTCAAGAATATAGGGCTGCTGGTCGCACGCAATTTTAACTGAGCCTTGTTAAATCTTACCACTAAGAAAAGCACAAACAATGCGTTTGGTATCAAAATAATTAAATCCCAAATACGGACCCTGCGAAAGAACAAATAATGAGCCACAAAAACGCAACAAAAAGCACCAAGGACGACGAACATTAACATTAACGTACCTTGAATTATTTATTTCGTAGTATAAAACATATTTACAAAATGTGTCCTCCGTCACAGGAGGAAAATCTGAGCCGTTGGTACCATACATCATCTTTACAATCTATTAATGTTTTGCCATTAGTTTGTTACGAAAGCGTCTTGAGCCCGTGGCAGCATTACTCCAATAATCAAGTTATTGGAATAGGCCACTGTTACGTCAACTTAATCCGATCATTATAAGCATACACGCTTGATTCTGTACCAATAGAGATTAGCTTTCTAATTCTATATACAATAATAAAGACACTACTAAACGATCACACCACGAGATAAAATAAAATTATTGGGAAAATAATTCTTAATGCATTCATTCGCTTCTGCGCTTTACTATCTTCCTTATTTGACATTGACAGATTTTGATAGAATAGACATTATTTACAAACTCGTCTTAGTCACAGTAGAGCTGACTGCTGCCATAGAAAATAATTTAAAAAATGAACCGACTTCAAAAATTATACTAAAGATGAAAAAATACTTGCCTTGTACAAAGAAATACGTATTTTCATTTAGTTAAATAGAAAATAATATTTATAACTAACTAGATAATCTTGAATTCGGTGCCAAGTAAAACAATAATAGTGTAAAGATATTACCTAGTATATACCTATTATTCGTTTGATGATTAGGATACCGATCAGCATATTTTTCTAATACTGGTGTTGCTTGGTATGTAGCATTTACTTGGCATCGGTCGTTTTATTTTTTGTTAAAAATTATTTTATTCCACCATTTTAAGTGATAGGCAGAAAATGCAAGGATGCTTCTCGAATGAGAGGACGACGGCTACTTGAGACCGAAAAGCACGGTATCTAATGGAAGTCTTGAATTCTTGATTAAGTTGACTGCATGATTGATGCGGTGGATGGACAACTGGCTGCCGGGCAACGTGTCGCGGGTTCGATTCCCGCAGGGAACAACTCTTTGTGTGATCCACGAATTGTTGTTCCGGGTCCGGTGTCATGTGTCTGTGAAATTATGTGTTTGTAACCGGAACCGCACCCACGACACAGTAGAAAATCCTAGTGTGGACCAACGTTATCTATAAAAAAAAGACAAAAAAAGGCAGAATTCAGTGCTGTCAATGGTCTCCATTGAGCAGGTAAACTGCAGACCTTTAGTATACATAAACCTTACAGGCACAAAGTTTTCATCAATATAAACAAATTACACTCAAACACGAAGTAGGTACATAGTTACTGTAAACCGTTCAAGAGTTCCCTGAGCTGTCCTTCGTTCTGGTCATCAGACCCTTAATGACCGTTTCAACCAAGCCTGGTGCAAAGTGCGTGCCAATACGAATCATTCAAGCCCGAACACAAGGCAACTCCTCCAAATAGTTAAGGAGATCCCTTACAATTTTTGAAAGTTCCCCTCGTTTTCTTCAAGGTTCCATCATCAGATCCTGACCTCATGACAATGGGACCAAATGGCAAGTATAGGGTAAACTTGCAATTCAAATAAAAAAAGAATTTTGGAAATCGGGGCGTAGGTATTCGAGTAGGTAACCGGTGTACATACATAAAACAAATATGCATCGAATTGAGAACCTTCTCCTTTTTTGAAGTCGGTGAAAAAGTAGACTTAATGCCTTCACATATTCAAAATGTGGTTCATTACCGCAAGTGCCGAAAGTATAATGAACCGCAAGTAAAATTTTAAAAAAAATATTATTATAAAAAACCTTAAGGCATCTGCAATGACTTCTAAAACGGTCAGTTAGTAGTGGGAATAGTTGGATAACGTACTTCTAAATAGTTATATGAAATATAGTTTGAGACTGGTGATTTAGTGCTGTTTTATAGAGTGAACAAGTTCGCATCTAACATTTTGGACCTTATTCACATAATTTTACGAATAATCTATCTGTGAGCCTCTTGGCTCTCTTCTATTTCTGTCAGTGTCACTGTCAACTTAAGAAAAATCATTTTTAAGGAAAATTTGTATTTATTGAAAAACAAAAAAAAAACTGAAGTAAAATTTATCCAATCACCTTGTTACCCATTTAAACATAATCAAAAAACTGCAGTTCAGAAATATAAAAACTTTTCACTAATATTTATAAATTAGACAAGTTTTTAATGTTGTTCTATATAGTCCCATAATTTCAACAGTACCCAAGTATAACTCATGTGTTTATGTAATACATATTACTATCAATTAATATTTCGAATAACTCCAGCATAATAATGACGAGTAGATACAGGTTGTTGAGGAGCACATTGTCTCGGGTAACCAGCAGTTTTCGATCAGTTCCTAAAATATCAGTTAAGGTTTTTAATATTCCGAAGACTACAAAACCATGTGTACTAGCTTTTTCCTTATTCACTTGGCTTGGATTTGAGAAAAAAATGAGTGCTGAAGATGAACTTGTTCACACAATAAAACACTGCATCTTGTTTATTCAGCGTAATGAATTTGAAAAAGCTGAACAGTTACTTCATGTAGCATTGAGACAAGCTCAACAAATTCGGCACGAACTTGGTATAACCTATGTTTACGACGTAATGGCAAATTTAGCTCTTCAGAGGGAACAACTAGATAAAGCTAAGCAACTATTTATTGCTGTTACACAAAGAATTATGGCCGATGGTGCACAAGAAGATGATCCTAGAGTCATCCACCTCAGCGTAAAATTAGCAAGAGTTAGCCATCTGAAGAAAGATTACTCCACAGCACAATTAGGGTATGACTGGTGCTTAGAGAAATTACATAGATTAGTGGAAACAGATCCTTCAGATGCAACACAAAAACTCTTAGCAATAGCTGAAGATTGGTATGGCAGATTATTTGTGGACCTCAACAGATGTGAAGAGGGCCTAAAGCTCATGAAGAATTCCCTTGATAGGATGAAACTAGTGTCAGACACGGACAAAGAAGAGCTAGTATTTCAATTGAATGACATTGGTACTGTATGTGATCGCCTTGGACTTGCTGATGACAGCATAAAGTATTTCAAAGAAGCTATTGAATTAGCAAAAACATCAAAGATTGAAGATGTGGGCACTATGTATGTAAACTTAGGAAGGGCCTATATTAAAACTCAGTTATTAGATGCAGCAAGGAAGTCCTGTGGCTATGCTTGGAAGCTGGGAGTTATGTCAAAAAATCAAGATGTGAAACAGGAAGCTGAACTATGTATCAAACAAATAAACAACCATGTGTAGATAACTTTTTATTTAAGAAAAATAGTGTTGGCATGTTTCACTTACATTAATGTTTCAAAGAAATAATATGTGAACTAAATTAATAAAATCTCATTATGTCCACCCTGTGACAAAAAATTGTGGCACCAAACTAATACAAGTTTTTTATTTTAATAAATTCATTGCAAAATGAATGCTAGCTACATACAAATGTTATACCTATTTTATTAATAAATATTTATTTATACAGCACTCTCTTTAGTGACACTGAAAGGTTCTGACACAACTTCTGTTTTGGTGTCCACAATCACCACATCCTTTACTGGGCGATCATTGGCGCCAGTTACAGTTTTCTCAATCTTGCGGACAACATCCTGTAAACAAAAAAATCAATGTTATTTTGAATTCAAGAAAGCTTTACTGAGAATGAGTTACTGTTAACTGATATGTTATTTGTTTATACTTCAGTCTCTTTTGCAGTTCCAATTTCAGTGGTATTATTCACACAAAAGAGAACAATACAATACAGAAAATGCATACATAATTAGTTTCCTATTTACACAATCAGCTGTTAGATAGAGATTTCTTCAAATATGAATATTAATTCTGACTATTGTGAGACATACAATTTTTTTTTAAATAATGTTATATTCCTGACAAAAACTACTAGTTTCAAGTCAAAACAGGACTTCTATTCATGCCTGTCGCACAGCCGACTCAGTCAACAAGAACTCTGTCACAGTTAATAAATAAACAAAGCTTGCAATCATTTATCATAATGGACTTAATCACTATTTATTTATGCAGCTGCACAATACAAGATAGTGCAGAGTGACTTTTACATAATATATTGTATGTTAGACAAAATTACTTACCATGCCTTCCAAGATCTTTCCGAACACTACATGTCTGCCATCAAGCCAGGGAGTCTTGGTTGTGGTAATGAAGAATTGAGATCCGTTGGTGTCTTTGCCAGCATTGGCCATGGACAACCATCCAGCACCATAATGGCGGAGCTTAAAGTTCTCGTCTTCGAAACGTTCGCCATAAATACTGCGTCCTATGAAACAGTTAATTTAAGTTTTAAAAACTTATGGCAATAATAAAACTACACATTTTTTACAATGTAAGGATGTGTTATGTGCCTAAGGAATTTGAATATATTAATGCATGAACTATGGTATTTAACACGTTAAGCGCCATGGGGGTCACCGGTGACCTCCGTTAGCGGAGGATTTGCCTTCAACAGTTTTTTGTCGGCAGTCAAAGGCTTAAAATAGGAAGGAAGACACTAGAGCATTATATTTTCCAATTACTCAACAAGGCAACCTATTTGATTATGGAAACAATTTTTTTGTTTTTATCTTATTTTTTATACTTGTTTCCACTTCAACATGATAACTTCAATATGAGATAAACAACAAAAAGTTGTTTCGAGATAAAAAATCTAAATGTACAATATTTAAGTCCAAATGATAAGAATTTTTGTATAGAATTAATTGGCTATAAATTTCAACTTTTATGTAGAAAAGTGTAAGTCAAACTAATTGGAAGTTTAATCAGTACAATCTTTATGGGTTTCAGTATGTAAAGATTATTTTCAATCTGTGTGAAAACAATAGCCAGCCGTATTTCCAGTTTAAGTGTTTAATGGGGCATTGTACTAGTTGCATAATGCTGTTTAAAAATACATCAAATTTTATGTTAACTTTTTGTAAACAATTTTACTTGTCAGTTAATAAAGGTAACCTGTCTGTCACTCACCACCAGTGCCATCTCCTTTGGTGAAGTCTCCTCCCTGGATCATGAAGTTATCAATGACTCTGTGGAACTTGCTTCCTTTGTAGCCTTGACCTTCAGGCTTCTGAGCCAACTGGAAGAAGTTCTCTGTTGTCTTCGGGACTGTCTTACCAAATAAACCAATGACAATGTCTCCTATATTTTCATCACCCATTTTCATTGTAAAAGTGACCTAAAAATAAAATTTAAGTTCAAAAATGCTATAAATTTAATAAATAGCTTTAAAGTAGATGGAAAAAAATCATTAAAATTTTGAATCAATGTTAAATTTATATTTTCTGTAGCTATGGAAGCCCCCATCAATTTCCTGGGAGTTATTTCACATTCTGACGAGTTCATGCAGTTAATTAATTCTTGGTTAGTCCTTACTGCTTTAGTATCAATAGAAATTGTCAGGTAGCAAAACTATAAACATAATTGTATTAAAAATCATATAACAGGAATTTTAACCATTATTATTATTTCTATGCACCGGATAGATACTGTGCGCATGAGTACTACAAGGTAGCCCAATTAAAATTTTAATAACTGAGAAATTAAATGTCCAGAAATACTTTGAAAGTATAAAAAAATAATGAAACTAATAAAAAAATACTAATGGGCGGACAATTTAACCTTGCAATATTGATGGGAAAAACAATAGCCTGCTAGACATGTTATTATTATAGTAAAATAAAGTATGTTAGAACATCCTTAATTGGAAACTACGCCTATATTAAAAGAACACGTAGCTTATGAACAGGATACAGGAACTATAAAATTATTTGAATATATGCATTCAATGCTAAAGTGCTTTGTAGAATCCTTAGCCAACAAAAACTTGTAGCGTCATCACAAAAGGTCACCGACCGATCATCGGAAATCACGATCTTAGTTGGCACTTTGGCAGACCGTTATGTTATAGTTGAACGGACGCAATTGAATGACAATAAGCTAAGCAAGTGGACAACAATACGCACCTTATGAGTTACTTTAGGTCCTTTGGGAGCCTCATCTGATCGGGCTGCAGCAATTAATAGGAGGAACCCAAGAGCTGCTGCGAAAGCGCCCATGATTAAAAGTTTTACCCTTTTTCTTATTATTTTTACGAATTAATCCTAACTAGTAGGACAGTCTTATAATGTTCTGTCGGGATAAACTAAAACCGCGTGTTGCTTCTTCGCCGGCAAACGAACAATAGGTCGCTCACACAAGGCTCAAGACACGCCAAGACGTAACGCAACAAAAACGAATGAAAAATGATCGCGTCGAACGCTTACTCGTCGGCTTTCCTGACGACAACACTTGCTTGTCAAAGTATCATCTAATGTCAAATCAGAAGGCCACACGTCATTACAAAATTGAAAGTTGTAGTTTCTTTGCTTTGTGTTCAGCCATGAAGTGAAGGTATCTTATGATCTTCTATACCTTCCAGTGTTTAGCTAGGCTGACAGTCGCAGAAAAAATATCAATAAAAAATCTTTAATATATCAGAGACATAATTTTTATGTAGGTACATAGGCATATAATATGTGTTGTAAATAGTGGTCTATACAGATTTCAGAAAAGTATCACAGTTTTGGCTATGGCTGTCTATTTATTTTCAATTGAAAATATTTAGATGCCCAAAAGATTCTTCACCAAAAAATGAATTTCTGAGTAATCGAAAATAAACTTTCTAAATCAGAATTCTGTCATTTTTATGGCATCTTGTTTAGTTTATAGCAATCTGTGGATCTAATCGGCCAAATGAACAAATGGGACACCTGTATAATAAGTAAGTAATACCCACAACACGGAAAGTGCATTTCTAGCCTTTTAGTAGTTGTTAGAATTGGGGGTTAAGGAATGGAGGAGGCCTCCTGTAACCTTATTAACATGCTGGTTTTCTGTGAGGTCATTGTATGACTCCAATTTTTTAAGGGTAGAATACCCTCCATAAACTGGAGGAACATTATTTGTCTTAGCATTATTTCAAGTAGGCTTATCGATTTTTTAAGATATTATGATTACATTTTGAAATCTGTGTTTGATGGACATATCCACTAAGCAGGTAGCATATTTAGTAAGTATACTTAAAAGAAATTACTCTACTGTCGGTGACACATGAATTTTAATAAGATGATTTTTCTAATTTACATAGCCGTCATGATAAAATTAAAAAAAAGTCGAACGAAATACAATTTTTGTGTGTTATAGACGAAAAGAACGATGACACGCTCTTTTGTTCGAAGGCACGGCAGAGCTCAGCTCAAGTAGGGCGCACTGCTACTACGTACATACTCTTCCGTGGCCTTTGAATAAAAGACGGCGCGTTTCCTCCCGTTGCGTTGTAAACGAAACAGGTAATTTCTGTTTCAGATAAGGTAAGCTTCAAGCTGAAGATGGGGACGCCGTGGCTTCTCAAATCAAATCAAATCAAAATCATTTATTCCAAATAAACCATAAATAGGTACTTTTGAAACGTCAAAATAGAATAGTAGTCTGTCAGTCTGTTCGTCAGTGAAGCTAGGTGCTCGTTCCAAATTGTAGTTTCGAATGGAGAAGAACGAGCAAGAAACTCCATCGTTACTCTTTTAAAAAAAATATTTGTTTTACAATTCATCAATAATACATTTTTTATACATTACTGTACCCCAGTCACTCCTCAAATATATTATTATATTATAAAGGTGTTTTTCCGATGCAATAACAGCAAGCCCGATGATGACACACCCTGTTTATGATAACAGTAGTGGCTTGTGTTCAATAAAATTTAAGACGATTATTACTGTCTCATATCGACCAGTAGACTATGATATGAACAATTCGCGTTTTCATCATCTTGTTACAATCCGACCCTCCAATCTGGAATACGCCTAAAACAGGAATATTTTAATAAAAAAATATAACTTCGATTAGGTTTATCTGCTTTTACAAGTGTCGATTAACTAAAATCTTACAGTTTTTTAATATTTTCAAGACTATTTGTGTTTGGTTTATTTTCAACTTCTTTACTATTAATTCTGCCACACCATTGCTTTGTAGCCATTTGAAAGTGTCTTATTGTTTCATCGTCAGTTTCCAAAACTTTTTCGACATTCTTCATATTTGTCATGTCTTCGCTATAACATTTTCTTATGAAGCTGAAAGAAAACGAGTAAGAGAGAGTAAACCTTGTATAATATCTCCAAATTACTTGTTGACTTTTCCTATGATTACTCACCGTATTTTATCTTGGTTAGCAAAATGCCCAATAGAATCCCTTTTACCTGGAACTTCAGTTGTATTTAAATAAAGAACTAACATAATTTGTATGTTTAACTACTTACAACGAAATATTCTTACTGTTGTAACTAATGTCGTTAGCACTTTTCCTTCGATTAGTCTTCATTTTATCCATTACATTCGTCTTGTGTGGTGGCAGTTCCTAAAATTTAAGTACACATTATTGATATCCACAATCCCTCACTTTCTAATTCACTTGACAATTTACTCGCAACAATTATTCAAGGGGAGCTGTTAAAAGTGAATCATGATCAGATAAAGTAGGAAAATCGCAGAACAATATTGACTTGTACGCTCAGTGCCCACCGCGCTTTACGTTAAGACGATTGACACGTTTATGACGTTCGGGTTTCTGATTGGCCCGCTCCTAGTTAAGCAACCAATCAGAGGGCTATACGCAAGTAAATACTAATATAGCGTTTACGTAAAAATAATTCGCACTACGGTCTCTGTTCTATAACATAAGTACCTTTGTTGCTGATTTGATGATTCTTCTATTAGACCGCCATTGATCAATAGCTCTCTGCTGTTGCTTCTTAAGATAAACGAACTTTAAATACCATTGAATGTGACTAATAATATCTTGTTCACGAATGCCTAAAACAATGCAAGTGCAATAATTAAACTTAAAAGTTATTTGGGTATATTAATCTAAATTGTTATTGATACTCAACCTTGCAATTTTGGTAAAACTTCGCTCAAAAATTTATCATACCCTGGATAATGTTGAATATTATCTATTTTCTCATTGTGTGAGCCATCTATTGAAGCGCTAAAGTATTTTTGCCAGTGGTTTACGAATATGTTATGGTGATATTCGTTCCACCCTCCATATCGATTCGAACTATTCAGCATAAACTCTTGGAATTGTTGAACCTCCTGGAATCAATTATGAATTACTTAAGTATAAGTATACCGAATCTGAATCTGTAATAGAAATTCGCGTTATTAAAGAAAATAACTTACCTCACACTTAAATGGTGAAGTTATCAAAGTTTTTACAGGACTGGGCACAATCTCGTTATATTTCGCAGTTTGAATTCTAAGATTCTTTTTGCAGTTATTGACTATAACCTGGTCTTCTTTTGCCTAAAGGAACATATGTCAGGTACTAAATAAAAATTAAAATACTAGATTTTTTATGTAACAACTACACATAATACCAACTACTTACAGTTTTATTTAATTCTATTTCAGCGGCCTTAAGGCGAGCTAATTCGGACTGTAAATAAGATTTCAATGATTTGATACGGTTTTCTAATTCAAGAGTACTTTTTTTGACATCGTCGATATCTGGAAAGAAATTGAAAGAGTATTAAGTTACATCAGGAATAATATAAAAAATAGAAAAAAATATAAATTAATTTAATTGTTACTCATAACGGTAATTTGAATTTATTAGGCGGTAAACTAACCAAGGGTTTGTAATAATTCCTTCGAAGAAGTGCCTGTTTGTATATCTTGAAACAGTAACTTTATTTCCCTATACTTATACTTAGCTTTTTCAGTAAAATGTTTCAATTCGTTTGGGGGCGGTAAATTTAACACCTCTTTACCTTGCGGCGCTTGCAAATTTTGACTAATACATTTTGTAATACTTTGAAGAAGAAGACTTTCTTCTATTTGTAATCTCTTTAGTTTAGCGGACACGCTAGAATTATTTGATACATCAGAAACACTATGACTGGACTTTGTAGATGTTAAATCCATATTTCTATTTTGTTCTTATTGCCACATTTAAATACACTTAGAAATAATTACCACTTTACTAAGATTATTAACGTTCCTAAGTAAGAACGTATGTGATTTTAATAATATTGATCAAACTTTCAATCATTTCAAATTACCCGCTTGACAAATAAATCATAATGTACAAAATAACTCTTTGGTCTCGTTACTCTATGCTAAGTTGCAGAATAAAAACACCGTGTCTGGAATGAATAATTGCCATTTATAAAAAACTCTTTTGTACTAAAATCGACTAAAACACAACTTTACAGACACATCACTTCATTAAGAAAAAACAAATGACATTTCGTCATTCTCTGATTCTGACTGAAGACGAAATTCTGGCGATATAAGGAATTTTATGGAATGGAAAGTGAAATTACATTGGAATATTCTTAAAGTACATAAAAATGTTTACTCGATCCAGACTGTTTTTCTCCAGGACCATCCCATTGCGCGTTGGTTTTGTTTATAAAACATTTATTTACATAATAATTTCCAGTAGAAATATACGTACTTAACCTTAATATAAACTGTTTTCAGAATGTTTTTAACGTGGATTACCAAAACAATACATACAATAATGCTCGGTTTTTATATAGCATAACAGCTACAAGAAGTCGGTCTACTACTCCGCTCAATACTATTGTTATGTTCGTTCCACAACAAGAGGTAAGTTAAATTTTATATGTGTATGTACGTTCATAACATAAATGTTTCAAGCTTAATCGATTATATAGACACATACGCTCATAATTTCTCGGTAAAGTCTTAAATTAATATGCATTGTATGAGATAATTCATTAATTATTTTTTCTTCTCAAATTTCTTTGTAAGTACCCTATTTCGATAATATATTCTTTTTAGGCATGGATCGTGGAGCGTATGGGAAAATTTCACAGGATTCTTGAACCTGGTCTGAATCTACTGTGGCCCATAGTAGATAAGATTAAGTATGTGCAAAGCTTAAAGGAGATTGCTATTGATGTTCCAAAACAAAGTGCCATCACATCGGACAATGTTACTTTGAGCATTGATGGAGTGCTTTATCTTCGTATTATCGATCCTTATTTAGGTAAAGTATATTAATTACAGTTTTTTTTAAAGGTACTATGTAAATATGTATATCGTATATGTCAAATAAATTCTCATCTGCTAGAGCCATGTAGATACCTCGGAGTTTTATGATACATAAAATTGTGAAACAAACTATGTAATCTTTTTTTGTGTAACTGCATGAAGGGGTTGCTCATCTTTTTTCTAATTATGAACAGTATGAACTGAAACTAATAAAACTAGCCCTTCATACAGCTACTTAACCCATGGTATGAATGCAGATTTACATAATGTATTTTCTATTGTGTTTAATATACTGGCACCTGAGAGGTTAAAGAAATTGTAATAGTGATTACAATTTCTACTGAGGTTACTTTTTAGTTAAATAATTTACATAATTATTTAAACATTAATTTATATTCCAGCATCATATGGTGTTGAAGATCCTGAGTTTGCTATCACACAGCTGGCTCAAACCACTATGCGTTCTGAACTTGGTCAGATTTCACTTGACAAGGTTTTTAGGGAGAGAGAATCTCTGAACGTAGCTATTGTTGATGCCATCAATAAAGCCAGTGAGGCTTGGGGCATTACTTGCCTGCGATATGAAATTCGTAAGTTAAGATTTATTACAAACTAGCTCTTACCCACGGCGTCGCTCTCGTCATTTGACTACCTACCCTACTCTACCTACCCTACTCTATCCGACTACTACCACCCCCTGCCAATTTTCAGCTAAATCAGTTCAGCCGTTCATTTCCTTTCCAGATGAAATAATTAATTCCAAGTCAAAATACCTTCTTGTCTATTAGTAATAACTAAAACAGTATAAACATTTCACTTTTAACCTCTGACCCAGAAGTAGTGAGATGTGTTATCACATCAATCATAATTAATAACATTATTATAATTTACAGGGGATATCAAATTGCCAACTCGAGTTCACGAGGCTATGCAGATGCAAGTCGAAGCTGAGAGGCGGAAAAGAGCAGCCATCTTGGAATCTGAGGGAGTGCGTGCTGCTGATATTAACGTCGCCGAGGGCAAGCGACAGGCTAGGATATTAGCATCAGGTCTGAATTCACTACAACAAGCTAACAATAATTCTGCTAATGAGTTTTGTCTTTAAATAATCCAAAAATATGGTACATACCCCAATTAAGGGATCTATTTAATTCATAAGAATATTACAAATTCGAAAGTGTTTATAACGTTTTTTCTTTAGAGATAGAATTATTAGTAGAGATAGTAATATTTTTTGTGTTTTCAGAGGCTGAAAAACAAGAACAGATAAACAAGGCATCTGGTGAGGCACAGGCTATGCTTGCTGTTGCTGAAGCTCGCGCTAGGGGACTGAAGCTAATTGGAGGTGCTCTAGCTGAACGGGTCTGTCATTTTACTTTTACTTGATTACAAATAGTATTAGCAAGTTCTTATGTATGAATAGAATAGTAACTGAGATATGCAATATTTAAAAAATAAAGACTTATTCAGTTTGCATGTGGCTCATGAATAAGAATCCTGTGATTAAGGGGTTATTTTCAACTGACCTACTCATTATGTATGAAAATTATTCTGTCATTTAAAAATTATCAATATGGTATTACTAAATTACTGCTATAGTGAGCTTCTAATATTTCTTTGTTTTTAAAATATTATGTTTCCCTTATTAGGGTTTTCTCTCCGTATCTTGGGCGCGGTTACAAACATATAATTTCACGTAATACACATCACACCCAAACCCCGAACAACAATTTGTGGATCACGCTAAGAGTAGTTCCGTGCGGCAATCCCGCGACACGTTGCACTGCAGCCGGTTGCCCAGCCACCGCGTCAACCATTCAGTCTGATACATTACTTGTCACACTTGCCTACAGTAATTCTTCATAATATGTATTTACAGGATAGCAAGCATGCTGCTTCCTTAACTCTGGCTGAGCAGTATGTGTCTGCCTTCAACAAACTAGCGAGAACAAACAACACCCTCATTCTGCCGGCGAATGCAGGAGACGTGTCCAACTTAGTGGCTCAGGTACTATGATGAACAAAATCCTCACTTAGTCAAACTTCTTGTAATATTTCTGTTTCTAACTAGAACACTTGTTTTATTCCAGGCAATGTCTATATATTCAACAGTGACAGCACATAACACACAAACTAAAACACAGCCTGACATCTCAGAAAGTTATGAGGAGCCTCTAGTCAAACTTAATGCTTTAACGGAAAAGGGGTCCACCTTGGCTGGCCCAGCTATTGCTAATTATGATGACACCTTAGCAGAATACTTCTCAGATGACGAAGAAAGAGAGAAGGCATTAAGAGGTCTTAAAGAGAAAAAAGACTTACAATCACAACAGCAAAGTAAACTAGAAAAGGACACATAGAACCGTTATTTAGTGCCAGTCTTAGTATAAACCTTTCAAACACCATCATTCTATCAAAAATTATTCTTTATCGTCTTCCAAACTTTATTTTCATTGTTTTCTTGTTACCTTAAATTGGCAAATTGCAATACTAATAACTATAGTCACTAGTTGTATGTTTTGGAGTTCTGTTATTATATGTTTTGGATAAAGAAGTTATATTTCTTAGATACGAGTTATGAGGTGTTAAAAAGGTTTCAAAAACCATTTTCTCTGCATTTGAAAATGTTGCTGTGGAATTTTGTTGTATACCTCTGTACATTAGGAACAAAGAAAAGCAACTAAAAGAAAAGTATAACAAATTGCAATAAAATGCATTTATTTTAATACATTGTACAGTCGGTTCAGAGTGTAACAAAATGTTAATGTACAGATATGCAATATTTTAAAAATAAATCATATCTCATTAGTTGGTCATCTTAAGTTATTTATTGTGAAATAACTCTGGAGAAGATAAAAATAAACTACTATTAAATACATACAAAAACTTTTTTTCATTTCTATATTTTGACCTTTTAATGTTAGACTAGCCATAAATTCGAATTCAGTTGTAAGTCTTAAATTATATGTGTATATAATTTGCTAAACTATGCAACAAACTTATAAAAAAATACAAAAAATTGGTTTTTGTCGCTTTTAGCAGGACTAAATATAAAGTATTTATTATTAGATTGCATTTTTGGAATGTTGTTAGAATAAAGACAAGTCAAATAATGCTTTCTTGGCATCACTACAAAAAAGCATACAAACCTTTAGCAGCCTATAAATATATAGTGGCTGAATAATAATGAAAGAAAATAAAAACAAAATTTATATATAAAAACAATTTCACCCTTCTAGCCTAATTTACATAAATATTACACAAATTCCGCGACAATATCACACAATTTTTTTATTTCTTAAAAAAATGCCAATAGTTCCAATTTTATTATAAAAACTTCTAAATATTATGTATTTAAATGTGTAAGATATACATAAATTGATTTGATTCAAATCTAAATTTAGATTCTTGATATTTACATATTGGCCATTATATTCAAATAAAGTAATTTGTAAGATAATCAATATAAATACAGACAAGTAAAACCTGTACCATAAATAACACAGGTGTTACCATGGAACTCTTACGATATCTTCACGACTTTTTCTCTCTGATTGAAGTAGCTGACTGTACCTTCCTCTGGTTGGTTTATAGGTGCTGGCATTTTGTGCAAACTGATATATGACGCCGATAAGTCCGTGCCGTCGAATTGTCGCAAATGAATCTAAAATAAGAACAATAATATTTTTGAATCAATACAAAAACCTACATATAACACTCATTTTTCAATTCCGAAAAATATGCATGATCGTAAATTAAAACACTTGTGTTGACATTCCCACAAAATAAATATAAAAAAACAATTTTGTTGAATTATAAATTGAATAAAATAATAACAAATGACTGTAGCCATACTCACTAGTAAATGGAGGTTGACCTCATCACTTCTACTCAAGTACGGAAAATTGCCGCCGCTTTTTAAATGGGCTAGTTTTGCATGAGGATACGACTTGTAAAGGTCCTCACGAACTCTGGAGCTCAAGGCACATTCATCCCAAACATCCATTACTGTGATGGGCAAATGAAGTAAAGCTTGAGGTTTTATGTAACAGGGTGTGCAGTTCAAGGTCAATCTTGATGCTAACTCTGATTGGTTTAAAGATTCAAGCTAAAAAATAAAAAGAAAGATTTAATAGAACAAGTTTAGTGTCATAAATCTAACATTAACATTCTAAATGTTTTAGATAAGAGTCTGCAAATATGATTGCTATCTTATTGGAACTGGTTGTTACAGACTACAATATTATATTTCAAGATTGTTGTTGATGTTGTATAAAGTTACAAGATTGCTCAGTGAAGTGTGAGATATTATTATTGCTTAAAGTAGCAAATGTTTTTTATGAAAGGCAAATTCTTACTCTTTCAACCATGAAGTCAATAGCTTCAGCCATTCTTTTGTCCAGTTTGTCAGTTGTGAAGTTTCCCATAAGCATTCTTTTCAAAACCAAGGAAGGTAGTAGCCAGAAGAGGGCTGCAGAGTCATGGTACTCAAACACAGATGTGTCTGTGAATGTGTTACAGAGCACAAGAGAGGCAACTCTGGGACAGTTGCTGGTTAGTTCTGCAAACTTCTGTGCAATAAATCCACCTAAAAATAAATTGTGCATTTAAAACCAGTAGCTGCTGTTCAGTAGTAAAATGTTTGCAGCCTATTGTTCAATGTGTTTATATAAAAAAACTTACTGATAACTTATCTATTGTTTGTGTTAGAGCAAGAGTATTGCGACCTTTTTTTAATCTCTATGCATTTTATGATAGTATTTTGAATTTTTTTTGAGTTGACAAGAGAACGTCAAGTAATAAATATGTGTTCTGCCAAGTGTGTTTTTACTAATATCCTATAATATATCTTTATGAATTTTTCTTCCAAGAGCTACTCTGTGAAGGAGTGTACCTACGTAGTATCACACTCCTTCAGGTTATGATCACCAGCGGAAATAGAAAGTACGATCATGAATAACTCTGGGAGCAGCGGCAATGGTACGCATATACAATCACAATCGTATCCATCCCAAGGAGTAAGTATGAGTTTACCAGCAATAGAGAAACTTGATGGTAGTACTGATTATAATACATGGAAGTTCATGATGGAACTTTATCTAATTCATGAAGACTTGTGGGAATACACTCAAACAACACCAGCTGCTAGTGATGTTTCCGGCTCTAAAAGAGATCAGAAAGCGAGGGCAAAAATCTGTTTAATGATTAAACCACATTGTTTGATACACGTACGTGAATCGAAGACTGCAAAAGCGGCATGGGATGCCCTGAAGACTGCCTTTGAAGACAAGGGCCTGAATAATCGATGCAGACTTCTTACAAAGTTGGTGAGCCTGAAACTAGAGCAATTTTCTTCAATCAGAGACTACATAACTGCCATAATGACAGTAGCGCAACAGCTACGTGATCTGGGCAAAAAGGTAGATGATGAATTACTTGCAGCGTTGATGCTACAGGGGTTGACAGAGACTTTCCAACCCATGAGGTTAGCAATAGAAAACACAAACATAGAATTGACTACAGATTACGTCAAAACGAAATTACTTCAGATGGAGGATACTTATCAAGCAAGTCCTAGTACCGTGACAACCGCATTACAAGCTAAAAATAAAAGTCAGAAAGATAAGTCACACAAGAATATGAGTAGATTACGTGTCGTTAAGTGCTTCATATGCAAAGAGAACCATAAGGCTAAGGATTGTCCGAAAAACCCTATTCAAAAGAAGGATGCCTTAACCTCATTAGCGTTAGCAACAGCAGCACAAGGACATGGAGAATGGATTCTCGACTCCGGAGCTTCTAACCACATGACAAATCGGAGAGATTGGCTTAAAGACTTTAAGAAATTAGACAAATCAATTGTAATAGCTTGTGCAAATGGAGAAACTGTGGTTGGTGAAGCAATTGGTAATGTAGTCAACGAGGATATGGACGTCTCAATTAATAATGTTTTGTATGTACCTAACTTAGCTACAAATTTACTCAGTGTTAGCACAATTGTAAATAAAAACCTTGTAGTTGTATTTGAGAAATCTGGCTTTAAGATAATCAAAGCAGATGGATGTAAGGTTTCCGGGGAGACCTTGTATGAAGGTACTGCAAATAACGGTGTCTATAAAATACAGTATTGTTCACAGGAAGTAGGTCTAGCTTCAACCGCTGCTGACGAAATAATATTGTGGCATAGGCGAATGGGACATCTAGGGGTACGGAACCTAATGTTACTTAAAAACAAAATGGCAGATGGGGTAAGTTTTTCTAATACTGCTTCTAAGCTAGAGTGCGAAGCGTGTGCAGTAGGAAAACAGACCAAGAACCCTTTCAAGAAAACTGGTGCCACTAGGGCAAGTGAGGTCTTAGGGTTAGTCCACACAGACGTGTGCGGACCCATGAGAGAGAAGTCGTACGGAGGCTCACGATATTTTCTCACATTCATTGATGATTTCACTAGAAAAACATTTGTATATTTCTTGAAAAGTAAAGGAGAGGTCTTTGAGAAGTTTGCCGAATTCGTAAAACTTACTGAACGTCAAACTGGAAAGAAATTTAAAATTATCAGATCTGATAATGGCAAAGAGTTTGTCAATAAGCGTATGGATGAGTTCTGTAAAGCAAAAGGGATCTGTCACCAACTGACAATAGAGTATACACCCGAACAAAACGGAGTTGCTGAGCGAGCTAACAGAACTATCACTGAAAAAGCCAGGACAATGTTAGAAGAAGCTGGTTTAGGCAGAAAATTGTGGGCAGAGGCAGTCAACACCGCCGTGTATTTAAAAAATAGGTCTCCAACTAAAGCCTTGAGAAACAAAACGCCCGAAGAAGCTTGGACTGGAAGAAAAGTGAACTTAAGCCACCTCAGAGTGTTTGGATGTAAAGCTTATCTTCATGTTCCAGATCAGAAGCGCACAAAATGGGATCCTAAGGGCACAGAGTTAGTCCATGTTGGATATGGCGAAAACGGTTATCGCCTTATTAACCCTACGACAGGAGTGTTGCACAGAGGTAGAGATGTTATATTTTTTGAAAACTCAAAAGTACAGCTACGTGCTCCCGTTAATCAAGCCGTCCCGCTACCGCTGACGGATGTTACGGTTGAGTATGATAGAGTTTCAACTCATCATGAAGAGCCAGAAATTCCTGAAGAACCTGGAAATCCAGCTCTTGAGAATGTTGAGGTTGAAGATGAGGTTTGGGAATCATCTGACGAGGGGAATGAAGCAGATCCTGAGGATGGTCTTGTAGAAGAAGGTAGAGAGCTACCAGTAAATGACAATGGGCCATCAGATAGAAGATATCCGCTTCGAGAAAGAATACCAAAAGCATATCCAGATTTTGTAACTTACCAAGCAGTCAAGGCATCGCCAGACCCTTTAACTGTTCAGGATGCATTATCTAGAGAAGATGGAGACAAATGGAAAGCCGCAATTGAGGAGGAGCTGAGAGCCCTCGAGAAGAATAAAACTTGGACGTTGGTGAAGCAGCCAAAGTCGTGCAACATTGTTGATTCGAAATGGTTATTTCGAATTAAAGAAGAGGCGGGGGGAAAGACTCGTTATAAGGCACGACTTGTAGCAAGAGGATTCAGCCAACGGAGAGGAGTCGACTACTTTGAAACTTTTTCGCCTGTAGTCAAACATAGCTCATTAAGAGTCTTAATAGCCTTAGCCGCCCGTTTAGAGTTAGGCATAGATCAAATGGACGTTAAAACGGCATTTTTGAATGGAGACTTAAATGAAATCGTCTATATGAAGCAACCAGAGGGGTTCGAGGTAAAGGGCAAGGAGAATTATGTCTGTCTTCTAAAAAAATCTTTGTATGGACTGAAACAAGCGCCACGAGCGTGGAACGCAAAGCTTCACTCTGAACTTATAAGACTGAAGTTCAGAAGATCTGAAAATGAGCCATGCGTTTACACCCGGTCACAGAATGGAAACATAATGATTATTGCTGTGTATGTAGATGACATTTTGATATTTTGGAACAATAAGCAAGAGATGTTCAAATTCAAAGAAGAGTTGAAGTCTAGATTTGATATGAAAGATCTCGGCAAAGCTGAGTTAATGCTGGGAATTAATATTGTTCAAGATGTCAACAAAATTAAACTGCATCAGGAGAAGTATATTGATGGACTCCTGAAGGCATTTAATATGGAAGACTGCAAACCAGTAGTTACACCAGCAGTACCCGGTCAACGGCTAGAGAAGCCTACACATGGAAGGAGACCAGATGAGAGAATTCCATATCGAGCACTGATAGGTTCGCTCATGTATGTAGCAGTATGTACAAGGCCTGACATTGCTCATGTGGTTAATTATCTTAGCCAGTTCAATGAATGCTATGAGGAACAACATTGGATTGTAGCAAAGCGAATCCTCCGTTACCTGAAAGGAAGCAAGACGCTTGGGTTGACATACAACAAACAAAAATACCCAGAAGTTGTTGTTGGTTACGCGGATGCCGATTATGCAGGAGACGCTGATCGACGTTCATATTCAGGTTCCGTGTTCCTTATTCAAGGAGGTGCAGTTTCTTGGCAAAGCACGAAACAACGAACGGTGGCTATGAGCACAGCCGAAGCAGAATACGTGTCGCTATCAGAAGCTGCAAAAGAAGCTGTCTTTCTCAAAAGGCTGATTGCAGAGATGACTGGTAAACAGGAAGAAACAATTCGGATTTTCTCAGACAGCCAGTCAGCAATTGCTATAGCCAATAATCCTGTACATCACCAATGTACAAAACATGTTGATGTGAGATATCATTTTATACGCAATGCTGTTGAGTCGGGAGCTATAAAATTGGAGTATCGGGAAACAGATAAGATGGTAGCAGATGCTCTGACCAAGGCTCTCCCCAGAGGCAAGTATGAGTGGTGTGTGAATGGTATGGGATTGCGTGTATAAAGTAAAGATGTGTGTGTACATATCATATGCATGAGATTAAGGAGGAGTGTTAGAGCAAGAGTATTGCGACCTTTTTTTAATCTCTATGCATTTTATGATAGTATTTTGAATTTTTTTTGAGTTGACAAGAGAACGTCAAGTAATAAATATGTGTTCTGCCAAGTGTGTTTTTACTAATATCCTATAATATATCTTTATGAATTTTTCTTCCAAGAGCTACTCTGTGAAGGAGTGTACCTACGTAGTATCACACTCCTTCAGTTTGTCATTTTGCTTCTGTATGACCAACTAACTAGGTAATTAAAGTAATGTATCTAACATTAGTAAATGATTGGAATTTGTACCTCGTAATTTTAATGACTTTGTGTACACACAGCACAACTACTTGAACTTTCTATTGACATTAAATTTGATACTAAAATAAACATACATACCTAAAGAAGCTCCAAAAACATGTACTTTGTCAAGTTCCAGGTAGTCAATAAGTCTTTTGAAGCCATCGCACCATTCTTTCATGTTCCAATATGGTGGAGGTTCAGCAGCAATGACCCGAACTCCTCTAGCAGCAAGTCCCAAAACTTGTTGAAAAAATACATCAGCTGTGCCAGACACTGGTGGTAGACATATCAATGGGCAACTTACTGATTTTGGACCACTATCGAAAATTCTCCAGGCCTGTATAAATTGTAAACAAACAAAAGAAAGTTAATTATCATAAAAACAATGTGCAAAAAGATAAGGTGTCACACAAAATGTAGGTCAGGTATCAAATGTAAACTGGTCAAAATGATTCATTCTGATAGATAATGTTTGATTAAGTTTATTTACCTTGGATCCATCTGAGTCAACCACAATTTTTCTCAAGGGAATGCTGCTTCTAAAACTAAGATACTCATTTGACTGTGACAATTCACTGACGCAACTCATTTTATTTTATTAGTATTTGCATAAAGCAAAGGTAATGTTCACAATACAACACAAAATTGTTTGAGTGCCGTCGTAGTAGAACAATTCCAGAATTCGAATTGGTATCTAACTAACTAGTACTCGCTCATTTCGCTGCTGGATAAACCTTGTAAATAAAATGACGTACTTATGACGTCTTGACACTCTTGACATTCTGTAAACGTCAAATTGCTATTGGTTCCGTTGTAAGCAGAAATTACACAAATTCTTTGGTAACATATTTTACAGAATCTAATATTTTTGTATTCATTCTTTATACATCAGCTAGTCCTACTTTATACGATAAATGTGAAGGTTTCTGAGAATGTATGTTTGTTATTCTTTCATGCGAAAACATCTGGACCGATTTGGTTGTATATATCATAGGTGAAGACATAATAGGCTGCCTTTTATCAACATACCACGCGGATGAAGCCATGGGTGGAAGCTAGTCAATTGCTGATACTTTTATTTTGCAAACTTTAAATCCCGCAATAGAGTCTAGCTAGAGTGTGACACTCCCTCTCGCCGTACAGTACGGTCGAGAGAAAGAATTTGATAATTTTCCCCCAACAAAAAAGGAGCAGTTCCGTAAGTACTTGTTATAGGCAGGTACTCATAGCTTTTCATGATTAAAATATTTCACTCGTGATTGAAGAACTACTATTAACTATTAATCCATGACGATATACCTACATTTTCTCATGAAACAAAAGACTGTCAAATCCAACTGCGTAACTTCTTGAAAATGAAGGGCCTACGCAGTTGGAACTTTGAACGTTGATTGTTTAGAGTAGTTTAGACATTCATTGATTTAAATGCGATGTTAACTACTTCTGTACCTACTGAGCAGAAATTACTGCAACACATTCTATAATCGTACAGGTAGGTACCTATTTTTTCTATTGTTTTTTTTACCCCAAAGTGGAAAATCCTTAGGAGCCTCACTTTTTCTGACTTAAAGCCAACCATGGTGTCTTGTCTCTCACGTGGGCGGGAATCGGGAGGGTCTGGGAATCAAATTCATCCGCAAAATGATTTTGAAGGATCGGGAGTCGGAAGAAAGTTCACTGTTGTCAGATAGTATCAATGTCACTCGTGTGACTGTAACATGGAAAACCCAAGTTGATATCGTGGTACTGACAAGGATCCACCCAGTCATCTAGAACATTATGTACATGCGACTGGTGCGGTTTTGAGGACTGACTCCCTGGTGTGTTTGAGTACGAATACAGCTGGTCATTGAAAAAGATAAGAAGTAGAGGTTAATGTTCTTCTTTTCCACAAAATCAATAAGCCCGAAGTCTTCTAAAATTTTCAGGCAAAAGATTGAAAGGTACAATAAGTTAATTAGTATTGAATTAAGGGAGTAACAAAAAGAAACAGTTTCTCATCCAAACACATTCTCTTTATTATATACGTAATTAACATTCTCATCGTGAATTTTACTACGATAAATTTCCAAACCATTTAGTCTAACTTAAAACTAACTAATGAATAAGTTTTGGACGATTTTAGCAGGATCTTCGAAAATATTTAGTTCTGACTGAGACAAATGATTAGGTAAGTAGTTCTAACGCATAAATGTTATGAAGTAGCATCGCGTTCGGAGATATCATTGTTACATAAGTAGCTTAAGGAATTTAGAAGCCAAAGTCGCAGGTAATCTAAGTCTTAAAATTACAAATCATACAATTATTACATTACAAATCTATATAAATTTAACTTAGTGCACACTAACCATTAAAATTCATTTATTTCTTAATATACATTACAAATAATTTCGTTCGTGAATCACTAAACATTCTTATTAATGTACTGTATCATTCTTTAGTATTATCATAATATGATTTGAGCATACACCAGAATTGTCGAGTTCTAAGTAATAGCATCTTTGTACACACAATTTTAGGGGCAAGTGAATGTATCTAGGTTTTAAAACATTTACAACACAAACATAGTGAATACATTATTATACTGACTTACAAACTCCTTGGTGTTATTTTTCAATTCACTATAAAATATTACAATACAAGACATTTATAGTTCCATAAATTAAAATGCCAAATACGATTCAAATATTCCAATAAAATAATAAAACTAATCATCGAGACAAACAAATATTCGGGACACAATGTTTTAAAATCACAGAAGTATTGTTGCTTGTTGCACATAATAATATTAAACAAAACTAATTGTATAATTGTCTATTTCAGAAAGATTCTAACATTTACACAATGGCCTTGTGTGCCATTGAGATATAATAGAAATAAGAATGACTCATTTACTGTGTTTACAATAAAATTAATATTAACTATCCAGTTCAGGCAAGCGGTACGGACAACTGAAAATAATAAATTTCATTAACAAAACAAATGCAATAAATCATGTAACATATTTATGCAATTGTTTAAGATTTTCAAATTTTTTATAATTTAACATTCTACTGTTAATACACACGATATTTATCATATGTAGTCAGATACGAATAATTATTTATTATCAGAATAAAAACAATAATAAATTTATAAAACAACATGATGATATTTTTCGATTTGTTTTTCCTTATTCAAGTTTTAAAGATTTTGTCATTTTATTAAAACAAAACTTTGAAACTGAAATTACAAGTTAAAATCATCGCAAGCTATGGTAGTAGTAATCGCTCAATTTATGAAAACAATCCTTTCTTTTAATATTATAAGGGATTTTTTTATTACATACAATATTACAAGGGAAAGTATTCAAATCCATAATTAAAACACATCATTTTGACACTACGTAAAGCACTTAAAAATAAAGTCTATTATGGGACATAAATACATATGAATAGAAGAGGGGAAGATGGGGAAATATGTGACGGGATACTAATTACCTGCATTAGTTTAGTTGGTTTACAAATGATTTTAATTGAACGTATAACACTGCAACAGCGTGTAATAACATCGGTTGTATAACCCCACTGTATAACTACGGAAGTGGGCTGTAGCACGCATGGCCAGTCAGTCGTTAAATAAGTCACAACTCACGACTATGCAGCATATAGCCTTGGCAATACGTAATTGCAAGGAAACTGAACTTTGCCAATTTTGCATATTGAAAAAGTATGCATGTCACGTAAAAAATGTACGACGCTATTCAATACTGATTGGTTTTCAGTCAATTTATTAAAGGGAACTACTTTTTTTATTTGTTTGTGTTAAACGAGGCGTCGTTTATAAGAGGGTAAATGTTTTTTTTTCGAATATGTTTGAATGAAGCTAGTGTAGGGTAAATAGCGCTTAGTTTTATGTAGGTAGAATGTTGCAGGCGGGTAGCAGGATGCAGGTATCTGTGTGTGAGGGAGTGTTACCGGTGTGGGGGAGGTCCGTCCGCCGCAGGGGGTTGTCGGGCAAGGCGCGGGGCGCGCGGCGTGGGTGCGGGGCCCGGCCTCACGACTCGCCGTTACCACTGTCGTCGCCGTCCCCATCTCCTCCGTCCACTTCCTCGTCAGAGTCTGTGTCGAGGTCGTCGTAGTCGTCGTCGTAGAAGTCTGTCATGTCCAGCTAAAAACATACAACAAAATCATGTTAGTTATAAACCAACCATTTTTGCTTCCGTTTTAGAGAAAGTGCGAGACAAGTTACTGGTTATAATTTTTAGGGTAACAGTGTTCATTATTATTATCAAAACTTTGCAACAGTCCATTGCTAAATTGGTAAATAGGGTCATCGGGAATATTTTTTTAAATATCTTATAATATGTATAATCATAAGATTCTATTGAGCATTTCTCACGTGTTAAATGGAAAAAACTTATCACGCCTGGTAATCAGAGCTACAGCTTCTCGTTTATGCTAGTGAAGTTGCGTCAACAAGCATATAAATGAAGTCCAATGAATCAAGAGGTCATTTCAATTTATACGAAATATAAATACGTATATACGAATACGTAAATTTATCGAACCGCTCGGTCGCAACACTCGTGTCCACCGATCGCGTCGATAATTGTTATTGTGTAGCAAATATATACAGTCGATTGTTACTGATTGCGGTACTTGGAAACAATAATAACAATGAGTTTTTGCGCTAAATGTAACGGCGAGGTGCCTGATGGAGTTCTGTGTGGTCAGTGTAGTGCTCTTCTACATTTTGGATGTTCCGGTCTTTCAGAAACTACATATCGCAAGATGACTTCTGAAAAGAGGGATAATTGGCGTTGCATTGGATGCCGTCACACTAATTCGCAAAATGTTCCCAATTTAGCCGATGTTCTGAAGGAATTAAAGGAATTTCGTAGCGACTTTGATGCGATGAAATCGGACGTCAGCGGCATGAAACTAACGATTCAAGAACTAGCCACTCATTGGAAGGACGTGAATACACGATTGGAGGTAATGGAAGGACGTCTTGAAAGTATGGAACTGGTTACGTCTCAAATCAGTGTGTTACAAAAAGATCTTGGCGTAGCTAACAATACCATCAAGGAACTTCGTAACATCAACACTCAATTAAAAAAAGACAATGATGATCGAGACCAATATGCTAGATTAAATAACTTGGAGATATCTGGTGTTCCATTTCATAAAGGAGAAAACCTAGACAGTATTTTAACTAGCATCTATACAAAAGTAGGTTTGAGTTTGGAGATGACCGACATTAATTTTATTCACCGTGTGCGGCGTTTCGAGGAGAAAAATGCGTCTACCCGACCACCAGCTATTATTGTGCGCTACACTAGGCAGCGTTGTAAGGATCAGCTGTTAGCCGCGGTGCGCGCGCGCCGTGGTGTAACTACCTCGGACATCGGATTATCGGGCCCTGCAGTCAACATTTATATAAGCGATCACCTAACACCGGCTAACAAACAACTTCTCAAGCGTGCACGGGAATTAAAAGAACAACATTGTTTTAAATACCTATGGATCCGCGATTGTAAAATATTTATGCGTAAATCGGATACTTCTAAGGTCATTCGTATCTCAAGTCACGAAGTCTTGTCTAACATAATATGACTACGTTTAATTTCTAATACCGGTTTAACTTTAATATTTTATATTACATCTAAATGCAAGCGTCCTATGAGATTATTACTTAATGGGGTCTGTTTTGTTATTTATTTACACATAGGAATGCGTTGTAAAACGATGTATAATTGTTGTGTGCTTAAGCTAAACTATTTTTCATATAAATGTGTCACTAGTTTGATTATATTTTTTTATACGAACATTGCATTGAAACGTAAGCGTCAGGTCGTGTTATTACTAAACATGGTGTGTTTTATCATTTATTTACTTATAAAAATATGTTATAAAACGGTGCCAAAGTCTGAGGTACACTATCACTGGAATTATTTTCTAATACCCTACATATTCACAATAGTAATCAATTTATACTTAGTCGGGTCATAAGTTCTGTCAAAACCTTATATTTTTAATTTTCGATTACTGGCCAGAAATTCTTCGACTTATTTTAAAAATAGAACTTTCGCGCTTGTAGAAAATAAAAAAGAAATTATTTTTTATTCATTTTTAAATATGGAGTGGTCGAATAAAGAAGACAGAATCGCGGTTATCGCGTTGCACCGCTGTGGTTACGCGCCAAAAGACATTTTCAATATTCTTCAAAATTTGAAAATAACGTTACGGTTTGTTTATCGTACTATCAAACGATACACCGAAGAGTCAAGCTTCGAAGATCGTAAGAGAAGCGGCCGACCTCGCACAGTTCGGACACATAAGGTCATCAAAGCAGTGAAGGCGCGAATCGAACGAAATCCCGTACGTAAACAAAAAATCCTAGCTCTGCAGATGGGGCTAAGCAGAACCACTGTTAAAAGAGTACTAAATGAAGACCTGGGACTACGAGCTTATCGTAAAAAGACAGGACATTTTTTGAACGAGCGTTTAAAAAAAATTAGGCTAGACAGATCCCGCGCTTTGCTACGACGGTACGCGGGAAAAAAATACCGCGAAATTCTTTTTTCGGATGAAAAAATTTTTACTATTGAAGAAAGTTTTAACAAACAAAATGATAAGGTGTATGCCCACAGCAGTGAAGAAGCAAGCGCGCGTATTGCGAGGGTCCAGCGTGGGCATTACCCTTCCTCATTCATGGTTTGGCTTGGAGTCTCATATTCAGGCGTAACTGAGGTGTTTTTCTGTGAAAAAGGTGTGAGAACTAGTGCCGAAGTTTATCAAAATACTGTCCTAACAAACATAGTGGAACCTCTTTCTCAGACAATGTTCAGGAACAGGCATTGGATATTCCAACAGGACTCTGCACCGGCTCATAAGGCACGAAGTACGCAAGACTGGTTGATCGCTCGTGGAATTGACTTCATCCGGCATGAAGACTGGCCCTCTTCTAGTCCAGATTTAAACCCACTGGACTACAAGATATGGCAATATTTGGAGGAAAAAGTCTGTGCTAAACCTCACCCGAATTTGGAGTCTCTCCGAGCATCTCTGGTTAAAGCAGCGGCAGACATAGATATGAATGTGGTGCGTGCAGCGATCGATGACTGGCCGCGTAGATTAAGGGCATGTGTTCAAAATGGGGGAGGGCATTTCGAATAATGTAAATAAAATTATATTGTACATTTAATGACCTTTCATTTCATATATAATTTTTAAATAATTGTCAAAAGGCGTATAAGTTATTACATCAAAAGTTTGTGACAGAACTTATGACCCGACTAAGTATTTTCAATTAACACATTCACACATTTATTGACCTTATATTACCAAAATGTGAGGGGACTCAGAACCAAATCTCATTCTTTTTTAAATGAAATTCTTCTTAACAATTATGAAATTTATTGCTTAACTGAATCATGGCTCACTAAACATTACTATAGTTCAGAATACTTTGATGACAGATATGTTGTTTTTCGGCGTGATAGGGATGCTTCTGTCGTGGGAGCGGAGAGGGGTGGGGGAGTTCTTATTGCCGTACGTCGGGAAATGAATCCTATCCCGCGAACGGAGTGGAATGCATCCATATACTCAGATAATATATGGGTCAGTATTCCCCTCTCCAAGCCTACAAACACCACCTCCACTTCTAGTCCCGCTTTCATACACATCTGCTGCGTATATATACCACACAGTGATCGCCACGAGACGGAATTGAATATAATTTTTGAATCCATTAGTAATTTAATAGAACAGTACCCGAATGACATATTTCTAATATTAGGTGATTTTAACGTCACGTACGCAGATTGGTATTATGATGCTGATTCTAGTTCGATGGTAATGCGTGTCAACAACAATTCATTGGTGCAATTGACAGCCGATTTTGTAAGTTTTACGAATTTAAAGCAATTTAATTCTTCTTTTAATTGTAACAATAGATTATTGGATCTAATCTTTAGTAATAAAAACTGCAACGTTATCACTTGTAATGATCCTATAACTACTGAAGACACACATCATAAATCATTAGTAATTGAATTACACCTTGATGCCTCTCTTCCATTGACTCGTAAACTCACTAATAGGAAACTTTTTCACCGTGGTAATTATGATGCAATTCGAGAGGAAATGGCATCAATAGATTGGGTTTCTAAGCTTTCCACCTCTAAAGACACCAGTGTTGATTCCATGGTAAGTAAATTTTATGACATTATCAGTGACATAATGAATAAACATATTCCTTCACGTAAAGTTATTAATACAGCTCGCTATCCACCTTGGTATACTATTCCATTAATTAAAATAGGCAAAGAAAAAAGAAAATTTCATACAAGGTGGAAACGCTATGGAAATCCTTTAGATTACCAAACTTTTTCAAAACTTCGAAAGAGAGAGGCTAGTCTTCATAATGTCGAGTATCATAAATATATTAGATTGAGTGAAAATAATATCAAAAAAATCCCTAAATTGTTCTGGCGCTTCGTTAAATCAAAGTTACCATCGAGTCACATCCCTCAAATGGTGAAGTGGGAGGAACGTGTGTCCAACTGTGGTGAAGACATTTGTAATTTGTTTAACGAATATTTTAATTCCGTTTTTGTTGAAAGTGTACCGCGTCCCACTTCCTACGATTTTGATTGTCCGCCTTTAAACTCCCCAGTTAATATCGGCTCTGTATCCATCACCATGGAAGTTATTCACAAGGAACTAAAAATAATTGATATTAACAAGGGACCTGGACATGATGGAATACATCCCTTATTTATTCGTAACTGTGCGGATCTATTAACATTACCTTTACATTTTATATTTAATAAGTCTTTGGAAGTGGGAATATTTCCATCAGTATGGAAACAGGCTCTTATAACCCCAATTCCTAAAAATGACAAAAGAAATGATGTATCTCAATATCGGCCTATTTCTAAAACTAACTTATTTGGTAAAATCTTTGAGAAAATTGTCACTTCTACTCTTGTAGGCTCATTGAAGAATCATATCTCTAGCAATCAACATGGTTTCTGCAAAGGTCGCTCTGTTGAATCTAACATGCTTATTTTTACAAATTATTTAGTGAACGCCATGGACAAGAAGTCACAGGTGGACGTTGTGTATACCGATTTTTCCAAGGCATTTGATAAAATTAATCATGATTTGCTTATAGAAAAGCTGTGGACTATCGGTATACATGGCGACCTACTCCGCTGGATAAACTCCTACATCAAAAACCGATCCCAAGCAGTTTCTATAGAGGGATATGTGTCTAGGTTCCTAGAAATTCCATCAGGAATTCCTCAAGGATCCCATGCAGGGCCATTATTTTTTATTTTATATATTAACGACATTGAGAAAGTCATAAATTATTCGAGAATTCTATTGTATGCGGATGATGCGAAAATTTTTAAGACAGTAACATGTTATGACGATTTTTTGGAACTGCAGTATGACCTGGATCGTATATCTGAATATTGCTCATCAAATCAACTGTATTTAAACCTTGACAAGTGTTCTATTATATCCTATACCCGTAAACATAATCCTCTAAATTTTGATTACAAGGTCAATAATAAATCTATAAGTAGGGTAACAGCTGTGCGCGACTTAGGTATAATTATGGATTCAAAATTATCTTTTAATTTACACATAGACGACATAGTAAGCAGAGCCTTCCGTCAACTTGGGTTTATATTAAGGATTTCAAAACCATTTAAACATCCGCATACTCTAAAAGTTTTGTATTTTAGCTTCGTCCGATCACTGCTAGATTTTGCTTGTACTGTTTGGAATCCATACTATGCTTGTCATATTGACCGCATTGAAAAAGTGCAAAAGAAATTTATTAAATCTTTAGATTACCGTGGAAATCATGAATATGTATCATACGTAGATTCAATTACTCGTCACTCTCTTACTACTCTTGCCGACCGACGCGTGATTTTTGACCAAGTATTTCTTTATAAAATCTTGAATAATTTCATTGACGCCCCTGACATTTTGGAAAAAATTGCCTTAAAAGTACCGAGACCTGGTTCCCGTTCACAAAAATTATTTTCAGTCCCTTTCTATAAAACAATTTACACCAGTAATAACTTCTTCAGACGTAGCACAAATACTTATAATGATAAATTTGTTGAAATAGATATATTTAACCACAGCTTAGCATCTTATAAGATGAAATTGCGCAATCAACTGTTAAATACCACATAATGTAATTTATATTTGACTGCATGTATGTATTATGTTTAAATTGTGGGTAGGTACTTGTACTACACTATTTAAAATTGTATGGAACTCTAAGTCTTTTTGAACCTATTGTTTTCTTATGTAAGTTTTTGTATGTGACTGTTTGTTTCCTGAATAAATAAATAAAATAAATAAAATAAATTATACAGTTAATATCGGAATTACTGATAGTGTTATCCGCACTCATAGAATAGTTTGCTTAGATATCACAAGGCATTTTGAAAAGAATAAAATGGATTTATAGGGAGTATGTCCGCCCACTACTGCATTGAACAAGTATTATAAATGACCCTTCTATAGAATTTGGGTGACAATTGTTTTAAATAAGTACAAACCTGTGGCTCCTGCGTCGTCGACTTGACTTGAGTCTTAATGCAATAATCTTCTAATGTAAGTGGTACAACTATGCCCTCTTTCTCCGCCTCCGTGCGAGCCACCTGGGCCTGTTTTCTGTAAACACAAATGGAGTAACTAAGACATGTTTCTACAATAAAGCAACGAACGATAACATTTAAAGTACTCGTGAACACACATTATCTATAATTATTTGTCACAAAGGGATCGAGTCTTAGTTTTTATGTAATACTCTACCAAGATATACAATGGTGTTGCTTTTAATTCAATACTTATCAAAAATAACACGTCTACATGAATGATATGAATCTTATGAATCTTTTCGTCACTACTAATTAAAATGCGACCAATTAAAACTCATTAATCATCAATAAACGGACCGTCCGTTTAAAAACCATTCATTTTATTGATTTGTGTAATGGTTATAAAATCTTTTGTCCGTGTTATATGCAAACTTTTGTAGAGTATACAAAATGTAGGTAATTAGTTTCCCTAGTTAGAACTAGTTTAAGGTTATCAATTGCATTGTCAACGTTTTACGCGTCAACTTCAGTATCCAAAATGTATACAGACTTAGTTACAAATTCAGTGAAACGGGGACGCGACCGAATAAACTCATTGTGTTAAATTACTTTCACCGAACGACGGACGAAAACTGTATTGTCGTATGACAACAAATGAACTGGGATGAGTGAGACTAGAAAATGTCACCTAAGGGTATGAAAATAATCTGCGTCAGAGTTTGCATACAGAATGAAGGGGACTGGACGTCAATTTTTAATTGAGAACTTTTGAGACTTTTTCATTGTAAAACGTCTTCAGTTCAGTTTAATATTTAACAAATCAAATCTGTTGTTGTTGTTGTTGTTGTAAACTAGTAGTAGTAAGTAGATTCTAGACCAGATTAGCAAAAAAATGCTAATTTTATTTGCTATATAGTTATTAATTTACTGGACAGTTCAAGGTTGATGTAGCATCAACATCCGTATAGAGATAGTCTTATTCGAGAATCGAGCAAGCGGCGCCTCACCTGATAATATTCTCATATTCTTTATCTTTGCCTTTGGAGTCGCGCCAGCGGCGGTACATGACGCTGGCGTCGACGTTGGCTGGGCTGAAGGTGTTGGGCTCGTTGAGTAGTGAGATCACGGAGAGCAGCACGGTGCGCACCGACTGCGTCGGGTTCCAGCGTTCGCACGGGAGCTCGCCCGATTGCGGGTCGTCAACCGGCGGGTGCAGGATCGATATGCAGAGGTCACCATTCTGGAAAATTTTAAAGGAATACTCAGTCACGCGTGTGAGACAGGTCTTACTTTTATAACAAAGATCTTAGCTACTCTATTACACTATGCCATTCACTGGATGTCAGACTTTTATTGTCATCTCTTACATTTATGGCATCTTTGTCCAAAGCTACGTGGTGTTCAGTTTCTTTCTTGTGACACTTAATTTTATTGCAACATTAATTAAATTGTCATAAAATTATTTTCGTTGCACTTTTTACGAACGATAAAAATATCGTTAACCATGGAATGAATACATATTTACTTGACCCCCTCTTTAGATCAGGTCGAGTAATCAAGTAAAGATGGTAACTGGTTTTCGTCAAAATTAGCTGCTTTCCCTAGCTCTCTCTTCTTAGATAGTTTTCTTTCATCTTTTTTGTGGCGACTTAACAAAAACTAAAACATCGTAATACGATCACCCTCGATGTTTACAGTGAACAGTAAACCACAGGCTATACAACAAAACCCACAAAAAAAGAAAACTTGATAGCCACCTTTGTTTCTTTACTAGTCTGGTGGAATAAAACTGGTGTTGCATTATTAAAATAACGTCAAGTGCTTGTCACTTCAACCGCGACTCTATTTGATACTTATTTGTCCTAGAATATCAAAGTTGTTGTGATTTGACCGTGAACAGAGATGCCATTGCCAAATAATTAATAAACATTTGATACGTAGGGTGTGTGACGTAGGAACGCACAGATAGACTGTGCGTCTCTGCTATCTGTCTATCAGCAAATTGAAGTTTGCACAACTAACTGCGAAGGCCAGAGTTATTAAATCTTAAAACGATTAAATGCTTCACGGTTAGGAAGACAGATTTCGTTTTCGTTGCGTTATAGTGAGCGTAATACGAGGTGTTATATAAAATCCATTGTTGCCTCGCCTCCTCGCAAGCTACCAGCAACCTTCATAACAATGCGAGTTAACTACACGCGTAATGTGAAACTGAGATGTCGAATTTATTGTTGCAAATGTTTTACCAGATATTGCAAATATATTCTTGGGATATTAAAAACAATATAACAATCGAATTTGGAAATATTTTGTTTTTATAAACGGTTATATCGGACAAAATGTCCCTATCATAAATAGGTAGAGGTTATCATAAAATAAAGTTATACTATTTGAACAAAGGAGACGGTAATCAATTAATGATATACATATTATGTGCGCAAAAAATGATTTTCGAAAGTGGATTACCTATTTAGAATAGTATGAAAATTTCTTTTTCACATTTATTAATCAATCAATAATTCTAACATTTTTGGTAGAATTGATAATTGGTAATAAACTATTAAGTATTCATAATGTAATTTTCTTACTGACGTTTTTAGAAGAGTATAAAATTGCAGACAACTGGAATCAATACATAAATAATAATGAAAATGGAAACAGCTGTTGCAGAAAAGACTTGAGTAAGGGCAGTATAAGCTACGTATAACTTTGTACCTAGATAGATACGTAAAGAACTAAACAAGAGTTTAGTTAGACATGATTATGGAATCAACCGCTTACCTGGAAGCTACTTAGTTACTGGAGTGTATCATTACCTATATCGTTAATCATACTTGTTTCCTGTTCTTATGAATTCATATCAATTACATCACACACGTCGAAGTAAAAGAAATATGCTTTGCACTGCACTCGTTTGTTGCAATTTGCAATGCAATTTTTATTGTTACTCATTCATATTGACTCTGCCTATAGTACCTATAGAAAACCACATGCACATTAATGTAAGTAAGTATCTACTTGAATATAATTATGTAGGTACCAAAAGCTTGGCAACACTCGTGGTCGGCAACATTGGGTATAAGGTAAATAAAATATCTATATTAATTTTATAAAGATGTAACAATTTGTAAATTTGTAGCATGTAGAGGGTTTTTGTGAAATTTCCAAAATTCTTTCACCGAAAGATAGCTACAATGTTCCTAAGTGCTATAGGCTATAAGATGTCACACCACGACCCATAGAAACCGCGCGGCAGTAACTTAGTTTTCCATAAATTGATCACTGGTCATCAGATGATGACCGACTGAGCTGATTACCATAAATTATAACAATTTTTCAAATTATAGGTATCATATTAAAATCTGCAATTTAGTTTTAATTGGCATCGTATAGAAATGATACGAATGTTAAGGCCAGTACCGGCTTACCCCTTCACCCGACAATAACCACTTGATTACTCATCAGTTCGCGGCGCAGCCTTCGACAAGGTCTTCCATACGCCATATATATTACTCACGATATCTAGCTTCACCTCTTTCTAAGGAGATACCGGAAGGAGGCAAGCGAGACGGAACGAGCAAGAGGCTTACCTCCGCAATTTACCCTTGACGATCTCAGTAAAACAGCATATATCGAGACCCACCCCATTTACATTGTAATCTGCTCAGCGAATCATGAAGGTTGTGTTATCCGATTTATCGAATGAACTTTGATGTTGTATGCAACTGAGCGGTAAGATCATTCGAGTTCTATTGTACATAATGACAGATAAAGAGGTGGTTGAAATCGTTCAATTCCAACCAGTGGCCTACTAGTCTAGTATTCGCTGACCTAGATACATTTTGTTTAATGCGATAAAAATGTTGTACGTATTTAATTATAATAATATATTTTTTTTTTTTGTTAAATATTGTGATGTAGACTTCTACAACTTGTGAGTTGTGATGAGTTGCAACTATCTACTGTAATATCAAGTATGAATAAGTAGTTGCTGCATGACGATGAGTAAAGAGCAGTTTCAGCCTTGCCACTTGACCCCAACGATGTTTCTGTACAGGCAGTAAATTAAAATATGAGGCAACTAAGAAAGCGTCATTGGAAATCGATTCCAATTATTGTATCGTGCAACCTATTTAGTTATTCACAGTCACACTGAATATTTATTAGTTCCATATTAAGCATAGTTGATTTTTGTTATTGAATAGCCAAACTTGGGTTTTTCATATTTGTTATAAACCTAAAAAATATTGTTATTATGAACCACAATGAGAGTCAAGTGAAAGTCTGCGCCTGCGATCAAGCTTTTGCGCACAAGGATTTGAATATAACAGCGTAGTAGATTATTTATGTGAATCGAATAATATGAAATCAGACGATTTGAAATTCATGTTCATCAGTAAACAGAACATGAAAACGTACAAAGCGGGGAATTATTCCAATCTCATTATATTACAGGGTTCCTTACATTTTTCGTAGAAATATAAAAATGATCGAATAAATGCAAGTATAGGTCTTGTTATTTTGTGTATTGAAGTCATGATGATAGAGCATAAAGGCGCGGACATTACGGAGATGGCATGGAGCGTCGCCCTCGGCTAAAAATATGCCACCGGTTCACTGCGCGCTTCCTCACAAAGAAAATGCGCGTGTTCTGACCTCCAAATCGGGAAACACTTGAAACATACACACAATGTTTATTTACATCACTCACAGATACATCTAGAAAAGAGTACTAATCTCCAAAGTTGTTATTCCGATCCATGTCAAGGTGCATGGCCGAGAATAAGTTATCAGTGCGGAAAATCAATCACGTGTTCGCATGCCGAAGGAATATTGAAAGAAGAACAGTCAAAACAAGAGTTAAGTTATGTTTTGTTAAGTTAGGATGTACCGAAGTCTTTGGTTTAGATGATAACTCCTAACAGAGGAAACTCGCTAATGAGCAAAATATCACTAGATAGGCCTAGAATACATGTTCAAGCCGGAAACCCAGGCACATTTTACAAAATAAATTCGTAATTCAGTGAGAGGTGTTGCAAAACAAAAAATATGGTAAAAATATACTTGTATACTGCGTCAATAACAAAACAACATAAGTGTTTACCATGTTTTAAAATTCATGTAACGGAAATGTATTCCACATTGAATTTCCGATAACTTAGTAGAATATTATATGAAGACTTAGCGGCTAGTCTGGCTTGTGAGCCGCGAGGACCTTGGTGACTCGGCCGCGGGTGGGTTGAAGGCCCGGTGACGCACGTGACTGTCCACGGAAGCGCCCCCGCCTTATTGCAAACTCACCTCCACTTTGTCTTGCATTACAATATACGTTCTTTAATAGCATGCAAACTGAATAAGGGAACCGCGAGAAAAAATCTAATTAACTGTGGAGTTTAGTTTTCTAAACACTGAACTGCCCAAAGATATATTGCAATCTTTTGCAAGAGGATATGTTATTATTATTGCTTCAATGTTAAGCAAAGTATTGAGCGATTGATATACATAATCGGGCGTTCAAACGGCGCGTGTGCCGGTGCAAGTAACCACGTGGCCAGTATTAAAAGAGTGTGATTGAGATGTTGGCACTTGCTTCTACGGTACGGACGATCACGTCTCGAGGGCGTTATTTAAAGAACTGCGTGTGAATGTAGCACAAGTTCAAAGCGGCCACCGCGACGCAGGTCGACGAGATCGGGAATAAGGTTAATTACCCCAAGGCCGGGGAGTGCCAACTACGTTGGGATGAACCTCAAGGGAGAGAACTTTCTACTGGGAAATAAAAACAAATTAATTCTCCTTGACATTCTTGCTAAACTGACTTGTTTAGAAAAAAAATCTAAGTATTATTTGCAGCCATCGGTTTATCAAAACACTAGTCGGTTATTTCAGCAACAATTGCAACTTGTTTAAAATATATTCGTTTAGGTTTAAATTTCGTCTAATAGGTTTCTAAGAAAAGTTTAGACTAAGCTGAATATTTTTGGATAACAAGTCATTAATATCTTGTGACTGTGTCACGGCGATACGCGACGACAATTTCTGTTTAGATGAACATTTGATTGGAACCTGTAAAAGGAAATTACCAATAGGGTAGGTAGACGTGACAGTATACTTGTTTGTCGATAAAATTGATCGCGAACATGGGAAAATGGTACTAGTGATTTTCGTGAGCAAGCAGAAAATACGCACAACGTGAACAAAACTACTGGCTAAAGCTAGCTGACTAAAAAGTGATTCACA